ACATGGAACATGGCACATGGCACATGGCACATGGAACATGGAACATGGAACATGGAACATGGAACATGGAACATGGAACATGGAACATGGAACATGGAACATGGAACATGGCACATGGAACATGGAACATGGAACATGGAACATGGCACATGGAACATGGAACATGGAACATGGCACATGGAACATGGAACATGGCACATGGAACATGGAACATGGAACATGGAACATGGAACATGGAACATGGAACATGGAACATGGAACATGGCACATGGCACATGGAACATGGAACATGGAACATGGAACATGGCACATGGAACATGGAACATGGCACATGACACATATATACTTTGTAGGGTATACTTTTGCACTCTACAAGTAACGGGTATAACTATAAATAAAACGTATTTTTCACGACTTTGAATTTAAAATCGATGACCATGCTATCGATATTTCCGAATGGCATCACAAAAGCCCGGCGGATTCGAATTTGTTGTATAAGTATTTATTGCATTTTTTGCTCCTTTACTGTTGTACATAATATTAATAGATATATTTTAAACGACATTCAATCAAATCAAATGTGAATGTATGCGCGGAATTGTGTGGCTCGAAATGCTCGAAATGTGGGACTCCCGTAGCAGTAAACGATAGTTTAATATGGTATTCTAGATCTGGCTCCGATCTCGTCGCGCCCTAATCGTCGCTAAGAAAGTCATCATCCAGGTTCACATCTGTCGTATCGATATTGTCATCCAACGTGATGCCATCGATCTCCAAGTCCAGGTCGTCGTCGTCTTCATCATCCGCGGCAGAAGTTTGCTCGGCCACGTGGCTGCTGGAAACAGCGGCGGCTTGAGCGGGAACGAAAGCTGGCTTCACCTTCTCCTCCAGCTGCTGGCCGGCTCCTGCGCCCTGCTCGGTGACCAGCAGTTCCTGGAGAGGATTACGCTCGCTATTCAGCGGCAGTTGCGCAGCAATACGCGCCGGCGCCTTGCGAGCCCGCTCCTCCTGCAGGTGCTCCTCCACGCGCAGCGCGTCGCCCAGTCCGGGGAAGAGATTTGTATACTGAGCCGGATCGGCCAGCGACTGGCCAGCCTTTTCGTTCACCTTGCCGAGCTTCTCGCGCCACAGCTCCACAATCCTCGACATCTGGCTGGGCAGGTAGGTGCGGGCAAAGAACGCTGCCTCTGGCAGGCGGTTCGTCTCGATGAGAATCTCCAGGCAGCGCTCCACGTCCGAACGCAGAAAGGCGGCCAGGAAGGCGAGGTTGTGGCGTCCCTGGGTCGAGCCGGCTGCCCCGACTTCCTCGAGCAACTGAGCATCGCCGGAGGCGGTTGAGAGCAGCAGCAGACCGCTGAAATCGTTGGCCTTTTGCATGCACTCCTTCACCAGAGCCATATTATTCTTGCTCGCCGCCACATCGGCCAGCTGGGACCACTTCTGTGAGTTCTCCGACTCGCGGGCCAACTTAAGGGCAATTTCCAACTCCCCGATCTGCAGGGCCAAGTCGAACTTGTGGTCGGCATCGGTGGAGACCTGCAGGGCCTGCGACTTGAAGCCCTGCTTTTCCAGAAAGTGCGCCACGCGGGTGCGATGCTCCTTGGGAATGGTGGGCAGCACGATGTCCGCACGCTCGAAGTCTCGCCGCATCACCGCCGTCTGGTACTCGAGCACGGACAGCTGCAGGCAGAAGCTGATCACATTCAGCTCCTTGTCGCCCAGGTAGATGCGGTTGTCCTTGGGCACGTAGCCCAGCAGATACATGGTGCGATCCAAGTGGGACACGGTCACGATCTCGCCGCCCACATAGTAGTTGATGCGATTCACCGAGTTGGTGTAGATAAAGCAGTCGCCCACCCACAGGCCGGTCTTAACGCACTCGGAGACCTCGCCTGCAATAAAAATAATCAAAGGGATGCAATTAGTTATAGTTAAAAGTTACTTATATGCAAATAAATTAAATTTTAAAAAAATATTCATAAAAGGTCTGATCAAATAATCTGTTTAGTTCATAAATCCACGATTTTTTATTGCTATATTTTAAATTTAGTAATTTTGAACTGTTTAAAGATTTGAAATAAGTTGGTTTGATGATGAAATGCATTTAAAATTAGTTGAATTTAGCCATTATTAATCTAAATAAATCTGTGTCTAAATAAATAGAACCACGATTTTTTATTGCTATATGTTAAATTTAGTAATTTTTAACTGTTTAAAGATTTGAAATGCATTAGGTTAATGATGAAATGCTTACAATGAATTGAATTTATCCATTATTCATCATTAAAGTGATGAGAGTACCATGAAAAATGGAACATTTCTGAGCTTCTTATTGGAAAAAGCATTGAAAACACGTAAGATAAGATATTAGATACCTATCTTTTTTCAATTATTGAGTGATTTCTATGAATATTGTTTGTAACTTACCCAAAACATTAAAGGCACTTTCCACGCCATCATCCTCCAGTCCCTCCTTGGACTCCACTGCATTGGCCACCTGAGCAGTGTCTACGCCCAGGACGAAGTAGGAGTCATCTGTGGCCAGGCAGACGAGGCTGCCGCTCTCGTTCCAGAACACGTTCTTCGGCTGCACCTCAATGCGTCGCACCAGCTGCAAGGTCTCCCAGTCGTAGAAGGCCAAACCGGAGGAGGTCTTCACCCCGAAATAGTAGCCGCCGTAAATGCTCTCCGCTCCGTACTCTGGCGTGAAGCTCTTGCGCTCCTTGAAGTTCCTGAACAGACGCACGGTGCCGTTGTTCTCCCTAATGGCATACTCGTTGCTCTCCAGCGCCCACACAAATTCCTGGGCGGAGCCGAAGGCCTTGTTTCTCAGCGCCATCGATGTGTAGATAATGTACTCGCCATCGCCGCAAACCACGACGAATCGGCCGTTGGGATTGTGGGCAATGGTCTGCGGATAGATCTCGCAGGCGCCCATATCCTTGACGGCCACGGGCAGGCGTTCGCCATCCTTGATCTCTGTGCCATCGGCAATGGTCTTGAGATTGACCTAAAAGGCAAGGAATAACAGGTTAGAACAGTTCCTTTCATAAGCTGTATATCCTGACTACCAACCTGCTGCATTTCCGAGTGCTTGGCCCAGATGATCTTGCCTCCCACCACGTCCATCGACATGGCCGGCTCCTCGCGGCCAACCTTAATGATGATGGAGCCCTCATCGTAGCCCAGGGCCACGTTGTTGGTGCCCCGCATGCTGGAAATGGTCCAGACCCGCTCGAAACCGTAGTTCAGGCAGGTCTCCAGGCGGTAGGTGCCCGAGTGCCAGATGCGCACGGTGCCATCCTCGGAGCCGGTCAAAACGATGGGCAGTTCGGGATGAAAGCAGACAGCCGAAATGTTTTGGGCATGTCCCTCCAGCGTCTGGACGCAGGTCTTGTTCTGGTAGTCCCAGATCTTCACCAGTCGATCGTCGGCACCGGAAATCAGGTAGGGCTTATCGCCACCATGGTAATAGTCCACACAATTGACGCCCTTCTCGTGCCCCTCCAGCGTAAAGTTGGCAAAGTTGGAGCCCAGCTGCCACACCTTCACTGTGCGATCCAGCGAGGCGGAGGCGAAGGTGTTGTTGTCCTTGGGATTGAACACAATCTGCATGACGTAGTGGGTGTGACCCTCGAAGACGCGCTGGCAGGCCCACATCTTCTCCCAGTTCCACAGCTTGATGAGCATGTCGTCTGTTGGGAAGAAAAGGGGAAAGGTCAGGAGTGCATAGCATAGCAAGGTATCCATTAACTCACCACTGCTGGTCAGCACCAGCGGCTGTGTGGGATGCACTGCGATGCAGCGCAGGTAATCCGAGTGCGCCTCGTACGAATGGACCTTCTCCAGCGTGTTGTAGTTGAACACCCGGATCTGCATGTCATCCGAACCGGTGAGGATCCAGTTCTTGCGTGCCACAAAGCGGGCGGAGCGCACCGGGACGTCGCACACCTCGAAATCCTTGACCATTTGCTGGTTCTCGTAGTTCATGATGTGTACGTGGCCATTGTACAGGGCGCACAACATCCACGGCTCCGCCGGATGGAGATCGACGCACTTGACCCGATCCGAGCGCGACGTCAGGCGACGCTTGATGTCCAGCTTGAGAGGCATCTTCCACGGTTTGGGCAAACTACGGCTGCCTGCGAAAACACTAATTCAATTGCGGCGAGACCAAGGAAAACTCTTTTGCTGCTGCCTCCGCTGCTCTTCTTCTTCTTCGCCTTGTTAATGTGTCAGAGTTGGCCTAGGGTTGCCGCCTGCCACGTACAAGCGCTGCCGATCGGCCTATCGATAGTTGGATACGGGTCAGTGGTGGCAGCTTAGCAAGGTGTATTTGGCTATTTAAATATTGTACCTTTGGAGTACCGGTAGGTACATAAACTATACCTACGATTTAAAACAGATATTTTTAAAATTTGTTGTTTGCTATAGTATTTGTAAATAATTGAAAGAATTTAAAAGTAATTTTAAATTATGCTAATAAAAAATGTCCCTTTCAGGATTTTAAGAAGGAGTACTTATTTTTACCGATGTCAGTAGTCTTTATTGGGTGAAACTTAAATATTCGTAGGGTCGTTTTCTCGTCCGCCTGTTTAAGGTTTTAACTGTACTTTAAATTTAACAAACGAACGAGAAAACGGCCATTAGAGTTGTTTTCCCGTCCGCATGCTTGATTTAAAAAAACCTTTATATTTATATTTAAAATTTAACATGCGGACGAGAAAACAGTCTTTAAATTAGTTACTTAGCTAGTGTTTCAGCTATTTTTAAGCAGGTATTGTGAAATGTCAGCACTAACTAGTGATGCGACAGGTGTTTTTCGCATAGCCGGCACTTTGAAGCGTGCTGTTAGTACCATCCCTGCCAAGCCGCCTATCGATAGGTTTTTCAACTGGTCCACGTCTTCTACCTGAGGCTTAATTGTAAAATAGAAACCACAATAAAGCTGTATGAAACATGCAATAACCAGTGAATAATACAACTGCAGCCAAGCCATTCCATCACCGATAAGTGTAAAGTTCTCGCGGCCCGATGTGGATCACGGGTCAGTTTGTTTTCCTTCTGTTGGTGGCACTTGTTGCCGCTAAAACGAAAACCTCGGCGGTGCAGGAGGACATTGCGGAGTACAAGGACTTTAAGAAGCTGCTGCGCACCAAGAACAATGTCCTTACGCTCTATGTGACCAGTGCGAAGGCCGCTGCCGCCGAGCTGAAGGTTTTCCGGGAGGCGGCGGAGGCGATACGGGGAACCGGGACGATGTTGCTCCTTGATTGCAGCCAACAGGATCGCAAGAAGCTGTGCAAGAAGCTCAAGGTCTCACCGGATCCTTATGCCATCAAGCACTACAAGGATGGCGACTTCCACAAGGACTACGACCGGCAGGTCAGTGTCGCCTCCATGGTCACCTTTATGCGGGATCCCTCGGGCGATCTGCCCTGGGAGGAGGATCCCGCCGGCGAGGATGTCCTGCACTTCAGCGACGCCACCTCCTTCACCAAGCACTTGCGCAAGGACATACGACCCATGCTGGTCATGTTCCACGTGCCCTGGTGCGGATTCTGCAAGAAAATGAAGCCGGACTACGGCAAGGCGGCCACTGAACTGAAGACCAAGGGCGGTTATCTCCTGGCGGCGATGAATGTGGAGCGCCAGGAGAACGCTCCCATTCGCAAAATGTTCAACATCACTGGTGAGCTAGAAATCCCAATTAGGGTATTCAATTGCGTTGCAAACGTTGTAAGGAGTAAAAGTGTAAGGCAGTTCCAACAACAATTTCTATACAAAATAGTTTTCAGGGCATACAACACCCCAGCCTATGCGAAAAAATAAATGTTTAAAATAGAGGTTTTAAATACTACAAAATACTTAAAAGTTGGGCTTGAGTCTATAATGATGTCAACATACAAGCCGATTGATGCTTAAGAATTCGCGTATAGATTTTGTTGATCTACTTTTGGCGTCTAAAGTTTTTTTATCTGGTAAATGCCATTGGTAAACGACGCTAATATATGCATCCAGCCAAATAATGCACGATTTTCTGTTTTTTATGGATATTTAATTGAGGGCTTAGATAAGACAGTAAGGAAGTGACATTCTTGACCAAGAAATTTGCCACCCAATATGCCCAAAACCTCTCGGTTTAAACAAATTTTTGGTAAAAACAAAAAAGAATGACTACAATACAAGTAATTAACTTTAATGTCCGTCATCAGCCATTTAACGCCTAAGAAGTCGCGGATTTCTCATATAAAGTAAAAATGGGGCCATTTTTATGTTAAAATGTAAATTTTATTTTTTATTCAAAAAAAATATTAAACCAAATAAGTTAGCCTTTTCTTGCAACGATTTTTGAAAAAAGTGCGTTCAAAATTTTTGTCTGGTAAACTTACAAATTGTACACATTTGCAACGCAATTGAATACCCTAAATATTTGTTGGTTCCCTTTGTAAGAAGTTTTCTCCATAGGCTTTCCCACCATGATCTACTTCGAAAATGGCAAGCTGCGCTTCACCTACGAGGGAGAGAACAACAAGGACGCCCTGGTGTCCTTCATGCTCAATCCCAATGCCAAGCCCACGCCGAAGCCAAAGGAACCCGAATGGTCGGCGGACACCAACTCGGAGATTGTCCATCTCACCACGCAGGGCTTTGAGCCCGCGCTGAAGGACGAGAAGGCCGCCCTGGTCATGTTCTATGCCCCCTGGTGCGGCCACTGCAAGCGCATGAAGCCCGAATACGAAAAGGCCGCCCTGGAGATGAAGCAGAAGAAGATTCCCGGCCTTCTGGCCGCTCTGGATGCCACAAAGGAGCCGTCCATTGCGGAAAAGTACAAAGTCAAGGGTTATCCAACGGTCAAGTTCTTCTCAAACGGCGTCTTTAAGTTTGAGGTGAATGTACGCGAGGCATCGAAGATTGTCGAGTTTATGCGGGATCCCAAGGAGCCGCCGCCGCCTCCGCCGCCGGAAAAGAGCTGGGAGGAGGAGGAGAACAGCAAGGAGGTGCTCTTTCTGGATGACGAGACATTCAGTTCAACGCTGAAGCGAAAGAAGCACGCACTGGTCATGTTCTATGCTCCCTGTAAGTAAAGCTTATAGATTTCTGTTTGTTTAAGTTAGAACCTTTAATGAAAATGATTTATTTTAGGGTGCGGACACTGCAAGCACACCAAACCGGAGTTCACAGCGGCTGCGACGGCCTTGCAGGATGATCCTCGTGTCGCATTTGTGGCCATCGACTGCACAAAGCTTGCCGCGCTCTGCGCAAAGTACAATGTCCGCGGTTATCCCACCATCCTGTACTTCTCTTACCTCAAAACCAAGCTGGACTACAACGGCGGACGCACCAGCAAGGACTTTATCGCCTACATGAACAACCCGCCGAACTCAGCGGACCGCACAGAGCTGTGATAAGCTGCTGCCAAGCGTAACTATACTTATCTCTCACTATTTTGCAATCTCACTTCTTGTATTAGCCCTAATTGTAATCGTTTCGTTAACAAGCAGCCTTTAAAGTCGTCTAGACTATCGAATATTTTATAGAATATATGTATGTGCATTTTCTAACTGAATAGCATACTAATAAATTATGTTAAAACTAATTAAAGAATTGTGTTGCCTCTATTGGAATAACAAAATATTGAAATTATACAAAAATTTATTTTTAATCTTCAAGAAAAGCAATTCGTTGCTGATAAGAAAAACAAAAAGATTGGGACAAATAATTTGAATAGTAATCAAAGATAATGGCATACCGGCATGATTTGATAAGGGGCCACAAAGAACATATCTATTTGTTGTGAAAAAAAACATAAACGAGCTGCTAAATCCGGTGTAGATAATGTTATGCAAGACAATTTCAATAGTTAGCCAAGATATTGCGTTATAATAGTCATCATTTTCTCTCTCTGGGTGACTAATTCCATTTCCTTTATTGTACAATAAATTTCAATAGTTTCTATTTGCGTTTAAAACAATTTCTAAACTTAATATATTTGGGTTTAGCTTTATAGCTAATGTTTAGATATATATTTATATTTAAAGTTCCTCATCAATGTGGCACACATTCTAAGAGCAAAAAATGCCAATTGCCTATTGCACACTTGCTCTGGTGTTCTGTGGTTTCGATTTGTCTCGCCTGAATTAGTTTCGCAGTCGAAGGAAGGGATGTGGGGCAGGGATTGCAGACTTAGCGATCTGCTTCGGGTTTACTATTCGCCTTTCGGCGGCTCAAACTGCCCAGCCAACTGCCGCGCTGCTGATTGGCCGTGTACTCATCATTGATAAGTGCGAATCCGTGGAACATGTCCTTCATCTTGATGGCCCGCGAACAGGCATAGTTCTTGGTGGCCACGTACATCTTGGTGAGGAACTCGGGCATCTGTTTCTGCGTCACCCATGACTTGATATTCTGCGGTATGGGTATCCCCGGATCGTCGTAGTAAGTGAGCACAAAGTGCAGACCGGGCTCGTGGAATCCCCGAAAGGGTTTGATCACCATCAGACTCCAATAGTCAGTAACGCGCACTTTTCCAGACAAAGCCGGATAGGAGTTGTGGTTGGCACCGCGATTGCAGATAAAGATAAGCTTCTTGTTATCATCCTTGATATAGCGACGGCAATAAACATAGTCGCGATTGGCAAACAGCCGGGGCCACTGCATCTCCCAGTAGATCAGATGCGAGTTGCTGCCCGGCACCGGATCCTCGCTGATGAGCTCCAGTCTGAGCGCCGTGTCGTCCCACTGGCGGCGGTAGTCCAGATCGGTTTGAACGTGGAGGAAATCGTCGGCTGTGATGTCGTCGAAACGGGCATAGACCTTATAAAGGGTAAAAGTTTAAAGTGAGTTTGTATAAATATTAAAGGATCTATTTAATCACCTTGTATGAGTACAAGGAGGATCGCTCCTGCCGCCTCCAAATGCTGAACTCGTTCTTGCTGAAGTACGGCTCCCATTTGTGGTCGTCCTGCGCCTGAATCCTTACAGAGCCCGCCGGAGCATTGCGCACATCCAGATCTAAAGGTCGCTGGCAGTTGCTGATGCTGGACTCCGCCTCCGACTCCTTCTCCGCCTCCTTGCTGGTCGAGGGCTTCGTTTGGCCCTTCCTGCAGCGCTGGTTGCCCAGCTGACAGTAGCAGTACTTCATCTTCTTCGACTGGCAGCGCTCGCAGAGCTGATTGTGCGGCAGGGCGTTGATGAACTCAATGTCCCGCCGGCACAGGTCAAAATTGGACAGCGCCAGGCGCTCCTTGTTCCAGTCGAAGCCATCGCTGCCCAGTCGCTTGATGTTCAGACCCACGAGACCCACGGCACTCATCACCATGCCACGGAGCGGCGGCTGCAGCTCCCGGCGGTAGTAGGCGCGCCATAGCTGCTTCAGACCCTGGGTTCCATAGACCGACTGGTAGAAGCTGAAAAGCTGCTGAATGCGGCGGGAGCGCTGGGCAAATATCGACTCGCATTGGTAGCTCCAGGCGCGCAGCGTCTCCCGCGACTGGTTCTTGATGGCCAGCACAAATCGATTGAGCAGCATGCCGGCTAATTCGATTTGGCCGCTTGCATAACAACCCACTGAAAGTGCGGCGACTTTGTTAATGCTCCTCCTCCTTCGCTATTTACTGTGCGCCCCCTAGCTCACTGGGCTCATGTGTCGCCTCGAACTTTGGGGAATTTAGTACTGCTAGCCGGGACACTATCGATCGGTTTGACGGGAGACTTACTGCACGAGAGCTGGGCTATGTGTTCTGGCCGGGCTTATCATGTTTGGCGATGGAAAAAACGTGCAACCTGCAATTTGTCCCCGCTGCTATGTTGTTATGCCGCTGTTGTTGTTGCTTTTGTTGCTAGCGGTCGTTACAGGCGCAGTGTTGGAAAACGTAGGACCACCTGCTGAGATTTGACAGCTGCGATCAGTTATCAGTGATCACTGATCAGTAATCACACTTTGGGTAACACTTCAATGTGGACTAAGAATAAAATATTTTACTTAAATGAAACAAATTTATGTTGGCGATCTGGAGAAGAGTGCCATAATTTAAACTATATGTTTTGGTGAGCCTGAAATGTGACACTGATAAAATTAAATCCTGTGACATATAACTAAAGGTTTCTATTAGCCCGGATTTTTATAGTAGGTTATTTTAGCTGACAAAATTCTTTATTATTAATAAGAACTATTAGTGATTGACTTGCCTTGTTTTTAACATAAATGTGATGATTTTCGCGAACTCAAGGTCATAGAATCAAATAATTTAGAATTTCATCACAGAACTTAAGAACTTTTTTCAAAACGTGAACAGTGTTTACTACATTTAATTTAATTTTAATTTTGAGTGCAAAATAATATAAAGGTTTAATTTATAAAAATGGTTTTAAGGAACGAAATTTACAAAATGAGCACTGAAAGTAAGAAATCTTTGTCGTTTTTTGATATTTTGAAATAGTTTTTTTTCCCAAAGAATACCCGTTATCACTCCACTTTTCTGCGTGCTTAGCCCACTGTCCCCGCTTTTCAACATTAGCCAACACTGCACATGGCCAAAACTCGTGGTGCGACCGCATTGTTTTTGTTGCGCAGATTTTGATTCGATTTGATGTGTGAAACTGCCTTTCAGTCTGGACGAATCCTAAGACAACCCAGGCAGGATGTCCATGCGGCGCCAGCGCATCAAGGCTCCGGCCAACCTGTCGCTCATCAAGCGCAAGCCGCGCAGGGAGGAGCTCGCCGCCCCGAAGGAGGAGCCGCAGGAGGAGGCGGTGGTGGTTGAGGCCCCGCCCGTTGCAACGACCCCTGCAGAAGTGGAACTCGATCGAGCTGATGCAATCGCCTTCAAAATGCCCGCCAGTTCGGCGGCGGAGGACGTCTTCCACTCGGACATCGAGGACAATGTCATCCAGATGGACTTGCAAAAGACCAACAACGGATTTCCCATGTCGCCCAGCAAGGCGCAAGCCCGCCAACGCGTGCGACCCACTCCCTCGTTTGGCCAGCGGCGCAACAGCTTTGTGGGCTCCCCAATGGCGGGGGATTACGAGGGCGACTACCAATCGCCGGCCACGCCCACGCGGCGGGAGCGCTACCTCAGCGGTTCGTCGACGGGAACACCGCAGCAGCAGCAGTCGGTGGCATCGCCCATGCCGCCGTCGCCCTTTAAGTACCTGCCGCCCATGAGTCCGGGCATGGGACGCATTCGCACCGAGTCCACCTGTTCCACCTACTCCGAAGGAGGCAGCAAGCAGCGCAAGGGCGACGACAAGTCGCAGAATCAAGGAGGAGCTCGGCTGAATGCCCGTCGTGACTTCGAGACGAGGTTCAACAAGGGAGTGCCCGACAAGTCGACGTTCAAGATGATGGACATGATATTCTACAACCCCGAGAACAATCCCATGGTGCCCAAGCAGGCAGTAACGACGATTAAAGACGAGTCCAACGGGGATGAGGCCAAGCCTGCGACGGATCAGCTGCTGGAGGCCAAGGGAGAGTCCACGGCGGCCATGCTGGTGCCTCAACTGAAGCTGGATGCCAATGGCGAGATGATCATTGACGAAAAAACGCTGGAGATCGAGACCACAGCCGAGGTGGAGGCGCGCAAGGTGCTGGCCAACTCATCTTTGATCCTAATGGACGAGACTACGGGTGCGTTGAGAAAATCATATTTAATTTACATATTTTCAGGGTTCTGTAAAAAACTTGTGTTATAAACATGTTAAATGTCAAAGTGTTTGGTTCAAAAAAAGTTATTGACATGTGTGTAAAAAATTGTAGCATACATATGTTACAAACATAAATAACACACACAGGTTATTTGTGTTATTTACACGACGTGTTATTAACACGATGTGTTTTTTACACAACGTGTATTTAACACAATGAGTTTTTGACATTAAAACGTCAGAAATATATGTTGAACTGAAAATTTTGAAACGGTTAAAAATAACAATTAAGATATCCTGGTTCAATATTGATTCTTCGTTTTCCCTTCGATTCGTTAATGTCCATAAAATGTAATTTTCATTTGTGTTAAAAACACAGTATGTAAAAAACACGTCGTGTTAATAACACATTGTGTAAAAAACACAAGTGAGTGCTAACAATTATTTTTCACATTTTAACACTTTTGTTTTTGACACATATGTAAAAAACTTTGCACACACTGTAAAATACACTGTTTTTAACAGGTGTCTTAAATTCCGAACCCTGCATATTTCTGATCATTTAATATTTATTATTCAGGTGACAATGGCTTCTATAAACGCCACAAGCGCACGCCATACTGGACGTCGGATGAAACAGTGCGTTTCTATCGCAGCCTGCAGATCATCGGCACGGACTTCTCGCTGATGTGCCAAATGTTTCCCACGCGATCGCGTCGCGATCTGAAGCTCAAGTACAAAAAGGAGGAGCGCACCAATGGTCAGCTGATCAACAAGGCGCTGCTCTATCCCAAGGCATTCAACATTCAGGAACTCAAGGACCAGCTAGAGGAGGAGGATCGCGAGCGGGAGGAGAATGATCGCCAGTGGAAGGAGATTTCAAAGGCTGTTCCAGGCAATCCTAAAAAGGTTGATTACTAATTGCATAATTTTTCTCCAATCTGTTATTAATTTGTTATCTAAATCCTTATAGCGTTCTCGCGTGCAGCAGCAAAGCAAAGCTGCACGTGCACTAAACGATGGCGACGTTGTCTACGAAAACGAGCATGTGACGAGCAAGAAGCTTGGCAAGCAGGCCTGGGCCAAAAGGCGCAAGGATCTGGAGACGGATGAGAATGACGGCAGCGTTCCGGCCAAACGAAAGCCAAAGGCTAAGCGACGGACTCCAAAACTTCCAACGCAAGCGGCGGCGGAGGGACAAGCCATTAAGCAAGAGAAAGCGATCAAAACCGAACAAACAGGAGGCCATTTACCTGCGGGCGGAGAGCAGCTACAGGCCGAGCTCAATGGCCTGCTGATGGATGATCCTCAGGAATTTGAAGTAGATGTAAGCAGCAAGCCACGTGATAAAACCATCATCGACATGGATGACGGTACCCTAACCTATGTGAGCGACTTTGAAGCGGGAAGTGAAGCGGCGACGGCGGCGGCCAATCGACAGTCGGAAACATATTTAATTAACTTTATGGAAAACGATGAAGTTATAACGCCGGATGACCCCATTCCCATTGCGCCGCCCACTACCACAACCGAACCGGATATCGAACAAATTCTCGCCGAGCTGGCGGATGGATCCTTGGTCCTGGTCTCGTCTCTGGACCCAGAGCACGAGGATCGGGTGCTCAACGAAATCTACATGCTGGACAAATCGACGGGAGAGCTGTGCGAAACACCGCTGAATATACCAGAGCATATTGTTCAATGCATAATGAATGTTATGCAGTTAGAGGACTAACAACATTTTATATATTACTACTTTAAGAGTATTTGTTAACGATTATAATTTATTAAAGCATTTCGAAGGATGCATTTAATTCAGTTTTACTTTTTTCTAATTTCTGAAATCCTTCAGGAAGGAATGGATCAAAAAACAAGTTTTTATACCCTTGCAGAGGGTATTATAATTTCGGTCAGAAGTTTGTAACGCAGTGAAGGAGACGTTTCCGACCCCATAAAGTATATATATTCTTGATCAGGATCAATAGGGGAGTCGATATAGCCATGTCCGTCTGTCCGTCTGTATGTCTGTTTCAATACCGTTTGCGAGCTCAGTTTAAAAGCTAGCGCCTTGAAACTTTCACAGTCGTCCTAAAACATGTGTACGCAAAAGCCGACCCGATCGGACGTCTATATCCTATAGCTCCCATAGGAACAATCGGATATAGCTTTCACAAAAATGAAGATATTTCGCTCAGTGTAAGAGCTATTGGCATGAATCTTTCCAAATCGTATTTTTTTGTGCGTACCTTGATCAGGGTAAAAGCGCGTGCCGATCGGACGTCTATATCTTATAGCTCCCATAGGAACAATAGGGTGAAATCGGTCAAAATTTGACGTTTTTCAGGATATTTCGCGCAAAATATTAGCTATTCCCATGAAACTTTCCAAATCGTATTTTTTTGTGCGTACCTTCATTAGGGTAAACGCGCGTGCCGATCGGGCGTCTATATCCTATAGCTCCCATAGGAATAGGGTGAAAAATTTTATTTTTTCAATTATAAAATATTATAAAAATATTATAAAATAGTCTAGTCAAGTTTTAATTCGTAAAATCTGCAAGGGTATTAAAACTTCGGCTTGCCGAAGTTAGCTTCCGTCCTCGTTAAAAATAAATTACTTTAATTTAAAATTAGGGTCTTTCAGGGTTGTCGCATTTCAAAAATATTTGTGCCCTTCCTAACACTGTTGTTTAGTTAGATCGTTTAACACACTGGCCTTTTGACAGCTGTTTTGTTTTTGTTGCCCGGAGGCAGTGGCAGGAAATTATTAGAATTTAACCAATTTAGCCACAAAACGATGGCCCAAGTTCCCTTGGCAATTGCCTCGCACAAGCGCCAGGTGTGCAGCCTGTACAAGCGGGCGCTGCGCAACCTGGAGGCCTGGTACGACCGACGGTGAGTGCGGCGGCCCAAGAGTACCCAAAGATTATATAATGATCTATTATAATAATGTTATTATAATAATCCCCGCTAGAAATGACTACCGCTACCGCGCCGTGCAGCTGCGTGCCCGATTCGACGAGAACCGCAGCAAGGATCTGGGCGAGGGCATCCAAATCCTGGCCTGCGGACAGAAGGAGCTCTTCGAGACGAAGCATTTCCAGCCCCGGAACTGTAAACAAATGATATCTTGGTCATCAAATTTTAGTTTCTAATCGTGTTATCCCCTCGTTATCCCAGTTGCCAACAGTGCCGGTGGCTGCGCCTTCGAACGAGAGGTGATCCCGCCCGACTGGCTGCTGGACTACTGGCATCCCCTGGAGAAGGCCCAGTTCCCCGAGTATTTTGCCAAGCGGGAGCAGCGCAAGAAGGAGTACGTGACCTGGTGGGAGAAGCAGTACGGCAAGCCGGATCCCCAGGACCTGGGACACCACTAATCTTAGAGTACCGTAGTCAAAACACACATCCAATCTTTGTCTTTAAAAGTAAATTCTATTGGAGCTGAGAGAGATGGTGTGTCGTTATTATGTGTGTGTTGTACCAGGTTGCAGTCGAACTTCCTGCGCTTGAAATCTTTTTCCACGTTGTGGGGATATTTCTTAATATCCAGGTTATTGTTCAGAATTTTTATGTGGGTACATTTTGTGAGGAAAGTACACATTTTATAAAGAATATTTGTTAATTAGATTACATTTTAATTTCATAGCAAGTCTGCAGACTTTTATACGCCCAGATAAGAAAAAAATATGAAAAATAGGAACCTAGGCGCATGTACATTATTTTCAATAATTTCTATCTCAAAGAGTGGGTAAATATTGTGAGGAAAGTACACATTTTATAAAGAATATTTGTTGGTTGTTACATTAAATATGTTAATTAGAATACATTTTAATTTCATAGAAAGTCTGCAGACTTTTAAACGCCCAGATAAGTACAAAACATGGATAATAAGAACCTAGGCGCATGTACATTATTGTAAACAAAAACATTGAACTCGATCTCTTTGCAGTTGATATTTTCTAGCAAGAAAACTTAAGAAATACTTATTAGTTATCACCTAGGCGATAGGCATTTAAATATGATAATTTGGAAGAATTCCAAGTTACAAAAAATGCTGAAGGCCTTTTCTTTAGCTGGATTCTTCATCGTAGAAAGGTAAAAAATATTTTTTTAAGCGACTTGTGACTGCTGTTCGACTGCAACTCCTTTGTACTAAGTGTATTTTATTTAAATATGAATATATTTAGGTAAATGAAGAGAAACTCGTGGTGGCGAAGCTCGTGGGCGCTCGAGTGCTGTGGGGGATGTCCTTGGTGTGCTGGAGCCTGGAAACTGGAGGTCCTGCCGCTCAGTTCAGCTCGTTGGGGTCGAGGCGCGGGCGCTTTTTGCTGTTGGTGCCGTTGCCGTTGGGCGTGGAGGTGCTTCCGTTGCCATTTCCCGACTCCCCGCCGTGCTCGCGCTTCCGCTGGAGCGTCTTCTTGTCCCACTGCTGGGTGAGGTAGCGCAGCAGGACGCAGCGCTTGTCCATCACGATCAGCTGCTCGGAATGCTCATCCTCGGTGGGCAGGTAGACGGATGCACGCTTCTGCGATGTCCGAATTCCGTGTTCGTTGCTCAAATGAGTGAAATTGGTCGAGTCGTGAATGGGCAGACCCTTGATGAAATCTTTTACAGACATTCTGCTTTCTGAAGTTGCTGCGGAGTCAGGAAAGTGAATGTAAAACACAGTAAATGTAAAACACTCGCACTTTTATGTATTTCCAATTGCCTTACTTCGATGTTTGCTGATTTATCAGTATTTATCAGAGGAGCAATCTCCCTAAATACGACTTTTCTTTATAACAATTTATGTGTGCCTCGGGTTTGTTGTTGTTGTTATTGCGATGACAACCAGTGCTGCAAAATGCTCTAATGTCAAACTCTGAAGCACTGATACGGTGGGTTAGATCCGATTTTTACAGGGATAAATTGTTATTTAGATTTTTATTAATTAACCTTTGCATTTATTTTATTTTATAAATATAAAATGCTGACAAATGTATTATTTGTATTATTTCGGCAAGTTTTAATATTCTTACAATTAAGAACGCTTTCTAATGATTTAATAACTAGGTGTTAAAAAACTTATTTTAAGCTTTGTTTTCCGATTTCATCCATTAAGTTCCCAAGAAATGTGCTTGTGCTTTTTAATGATAACCAATTTTTTATTCAAATTTTCTAAGTAAATATCAAATTAGAGAGATAGAAAATGGAATGATTATTCGCCAGAAAGGCAAGAAAACCAGCTTGACCCAATATTTTAATTATATTTAGAATTTTTGAATCCACCTTAATAATACTTAAGCCCTGCACTCAAACTTTTATCAAACCCTATTAAAAAAAACTCCCTTTTTAATCGTACAAATAAGGAATACACTTAGGTTTCCTCTTGGATATATGGCTTAAAACCAGACATTGGGTAATCCATTTTTATTAGTTTTTAGAAAAGTACATAATGTATTAATGAGTTTCTTAACTGCGGTTATGACGGTTTCCGTCCCCGCGACGCACCACATCCTTGTACTCATCCATGCGCCGCATGCGGTCTATATACTCGGGATCGTCCTGCTCCGCCTGCAGCTCCTCGGCGGCCTTCTCCTCGTCCTCCTGCTCGTTGGGATCGCGGGCGGCCGCAATGGCCTGTGCCTGGTTCATCTTGGCCACCTTCTCCTCGTCGGGAAAGATGCCCTCATCGACGCGCTGCTGGTAGAACTCATCCACGGTCATGATGGGCAAACTGGGATAGCCCAGACCGAAGACCGCCTTCTGCGTGGCATTGCGTGTGATGATGAAGGGCTGCAGGGGCTTCGGCTTGGCGGCCTGCTGATGATGATGATGGTGTCCTGGGCCGTGACTGTGACCGTGACCATGACTGCGGGAAGTGGAGGATGCAGGGGGCTGACTTCCCTGGCGAAAAGAATCCACTTCATTGTCGTTCGCTTCGCCACCGGCCATCCTAGCCAGACGCATCTGCGCCAGCTGCTTCATCATGGTCAGCGATTCCAGTTCCTGCTTGGAGTCAATGATGCTCTTGTCCAAATACTTGAGGAAGAACGCGCGTTTGTCCTCGTCGTCGGCGGTTTTGCTCTTCACCGCATCCCGCATCTTGGCCATATACTCGTCGATCTCCTTCATCCGGCGATACTGGGCTATTTTGTCGTTCCTATTGAAGGCCGCCTCCATCAGCTCCCGCTGCTCGCTCTTCTCAGCCTGGTTATCCGCCTGGTTAGCCACCTGTTGGGACTTTGGAGCGCCGCAGAGCTCGTACTCCTGGCAGCGCTGCAGGTGGTCCTTGAAGTAGATCTCGCCCAGCTCTATGGACTGTGTGCTGGTGGGACTGTTGATCTTAGTGGTCAGCTTGCCCAGGAAGTAGGGCAGCAGCATGAAGGGCAGCGATTCCGTGGATACCTCGTCGATCAGCTCGTTGGCGCTGAACATGCTCACCTGGTTCACGATGACGGTGGCCTGCTCGAAAAGGCCCATTGCCGTCTTCACTTTGTTCTATGGATTAGAGTTTAGGGATTATAGCTTGTTTTAGCCGGAATGTGAAATATCACACCTGAAATTCACTGCCATTGAAGGGCAGATCGGTGACTTCCAGTTCGTCAAGGATGTTCCAGCCGCTTAAGAATATGTCCGACAGCTTCTGGTCCTCACCGCCAGCGGTATTGCCCTCAGCCATTTATAAATACTGATTTAGTTCCGGTTGTATGTGAATTTTTACAAATAATAGTAACGTTGCGAAAATAATTTGGAAGCCGACGCGAAACAGCTGTTTTATAGGGATGGAAAACAAAAGCGAAACCAGGGCTGATTTATAAAAGTTTAGCTATTTTTTAAAAACATCCATTAATTCTAATTACTCCAAACTTTAAATTTTAAAATAAATTTAACCAATTGTTTACCCATTTCGTAATATTTGATTTAAATAAATTATGGCTTAAAAAAAATACAGGGGGATTCCCTAAACTGTTGAATTGCTGAATTGTTGAATTTTGGTCAGCTGTTAATCAGCTGTTCCATACAAAGTCAACTTTCAGAAATTTCAGCAATTCATCAGCCTCGGGGCTGCTGAAAATTTTGTTGAATTGCTGAAAAGCCAGAGTTGTCACCTTTTTTTAAAAGTCGTGGCAACTCTGTAACATTTTAGTATCACCAGTACGCATTATTTATTTTAAAATCAACTTAGAAAGCATATTTGTGGTTCTTTTTACCTTGCTAACACTTTTAGACAGTAACTAGCAATAATAAATCATGCTTACATGCTTTAAGTTCCGTGAAACTTTTCAACAAATAACAGCTGTTTGAAAATTCAACAGGAACCATTTTGGGTCGTTCCCTTAATTGCTGAAATTTTTTGTTGAATTTTCAACAATTCAGCAATTCAACAGTTTAGGGAATCCCCCTTACATTTTTGCTTAATAACTCTTTATAGTTATGTTTTCAAATCTCTAGTTTCAAAATATATACTGCAAAGGAAATTCAATTTAAGAAGCAAATCCTATAAAAGAAAATAAACCCAACTGTTTGGCAAAAATCCTTTATTAAACTATACAAAAGTCTAAGGACTTGGCAAAAAATTTGTTCTTGGTTCAAAGTGTCTGATGGATTGGGTCGCAGTCCGATGGAATTAGCCCTTGAGCGTGGCCTCGAGCTCCTTGTTGGCCACAAGTTCCTTGATGATGTCCAGTCCGCCGATTAGTTCGCCCTTCACGTACACCTGTGGATAGGTGGGCCAGTCGGAGAAGGTCTTCAGGCCCTGGCGCACCTCCTCATCGCCCAGGATGTCAAAGGTCTCGTATGGTAAGCTAAGTTTAAAAATGGATTTAGCAATTAACAAAAAAGAAAAAGAATAGTTAAGCCATAAAAACCGTACTTTGTTTCGTTCACAATGGCGATGAGTTGCTTGGAGAAGCCGCAGCGCGGTCCATTCCGGTCGCCCTTCATGAAGATCATCAGAGGAGCCTTGTTGATCAGGGCCTTCAACCGATCCTCCAGCGTTTGTCCCGTTGCCGCCGCGCTGCTGGCGCTTTCGGCCAACTTCTTGGATTTCGTGCTAATGGCGGCAATGTCCACTCCATCGACGCGGTCCACAGCGGAGCCCTTGGCGAAGAAGATCACTGTGGGCACAGCTTCGATCTGGATGAGTTGGAAAATAGGTTAGCACCTTTCTTTTCTCCTTTCTAACCGCCAAAACCCAAAACCCACCTGGTGCTTCATAGAAATCTCTGGAAATTGTTCGGCATTTAGGCTGATGAACTGCAGTTTCTCGCCCGTAATCTTGGACAGCTCCTCCAGCGCGTCCTTCACCTGACCACACTGCTCCGCCCAGTCGGCAGCGAATAGCGCCACTGTGGTCTTGTCCCCATTTATGTACTTCTGGTACTCCTCGGCAGCCGTCACGTTCACCACGGGCATGTTTTCTTTGATTTTTCTAACTCAATTTTCCTGAATAGCAAAATTTATAAAAGGCAGGCCGAATTATCAGCTGGGAAGAGCGTTGCCGGACTGTTTTGAAAAATGGGAATGTGGAATTGATGGCAGCTTGAAAAAAGCCAGAAGTAGCTATTTTTAAATTGAACCATATAGCTACATATTTATGGGAACTGGTTTTTTAAAACAATTAAATTCGCTTTCCGAATTTTCATCTTTTTCTAGATTTAAGACCTACTTAGAATTAAAACGCGGAAGATAATGCGTGTTTCCTAAACTATCAAATGGTTGAATGTTTCCCATAGAAACTGCATTAAAGAATATTTTATTGTTAAAGAAAACCTGTTAGACTCTGGCTAATTTTACATCTTATATTTTAAATGGCTAAAGTTTTAAAAACTATTTCTAGAAAAAACTTTAACGGCCCAGATAGTTCACACTTTGCATTTCTGGCAACACCGATAGGCTATCGATTTCTGGCATCTCTGCAACGGCAACACGTGCATCAGAGGCCGTATTCAATATACACACAGCTCTCTTATTTTTCGCAACGCAACCAAAAGTTGAATTAGCCGGAGCATGGTGACGCGCAAGAAGCCAGTCAAGCGCAGCGCCGAGGCGGCCGAGATCCAGGCCGAGGAGGAGGAGGACGCGGCGACGCTGCCGAAGGTGGCCAAGGAGGTGATGGTGGTCGCCCAGGAGGTGAAAATCGTCCGTGCCCTCGCCTGCAATGATCTTGCCCAGCGGAATCGCCAGATTCGCAAGCTGCGCAAGTGGTTCAAGCTGCGGGCCAGCAGCTCCTTCCCCTTCACCGAGGACGACTTCATGCGCATCTGGAAGGGGCTGTACTACAACATGTGGATGTCGGACAAGCCGCTGGTCCAGGAGGAGCTGGCCGAGCAGTTGGCCCAAATGATAGACAGCTTCGATGGCAACACGGCCTGCAGTCTGGCCTACTTTAGTGCATTCATGCGCACCATGTGCCAGGAGTACTTCGGCATCGACCAGTGGCGCATGGACAAGTTCCTCATGCTCACCCGCCGCATGGTGCGCTATGTTTTGCGTCTGCTCAAGCAGAGCAAGTGGTCGCCCGAACTGATTGGCGCCTTCAACAGCAGCATGCAGCTTTCGGTGCTGTCCGAACAGCCCAAGAGTCGCGGCATGACCATGCACTATCTGGACGTCTTCTTCGAGGAGCTGGCCAAGGCGGCCGATGGCGAGATCACCGCCGCCCAGGTCAACCTATTCTTGCGTCCGTTCGTCACCTACGTGGCCACACAGCGCGATGCCAAGCTGGTGGCCCAGTGCCGCACCAGGGTGCTCTATCACCTTCTCTACCAGAGCGACTTGGGACGCGAGTACAGCGAAAAGTACAATGCCTGGAAGCTGATGGGCTTCCCCACCGCCTCCATCGATGACATCGAGAAACTGGACTCCGGCTTCGACGAGGAGGATGACGAGGGCAACGCCGAGGAGGAGCCGCCGCGGGCCACGTCGCTGGATCCGCGGGCGGGCAACGTGGATGTTCACATGCCAGAGCTGCCGCTCAACGCTGATTGCGTGCTGGACGAGCTGCAGACGCAGCTGCGCACCAACGATTTCAACAGCAAGCGCCGCAAGGGACTGCGCAAGCTCATCCAGATTTTTGAGACCTACAAGGGCGGAGAGTTTCCACTTGGCGTGCGCACCATGCCCAAGCCGGAGGGTCAAACTCTGGCGGAGATGGTGGAACAAAAGGTGGCCGCCATCGATGAGATGGAGGATGAGGTCTTCGGTACCGGCAGGAAACTCAAGAAGCTCAACAAGTCCAAGCGCAAGCGTCTACTTCAGTCCATTAACTTTGAGGAGGTGGACGAGCACAACTACGACGAGATCATTGGCAAGGCCCTGCCCCCGGAGCTCCAGAAGAAGGTCAAACACAATGCGAAGGTGCGTTCAAGCATAAACAATGCCTGGGTGGTAGAGGACGTCAAGGAGACGGGTGCAACAGCGGATGAGAAAGAAGAAGCCAAGCCAAAGGCAAAGAAAGCAAAAAAGGACGATACGCCCAAGCCGAAAAAAGATGAGCAGTTGAAAAAGGAAGGACAGGCTAAGCCCAAGAAGGAGCAGCCTAAGCCCAAGGAAGAACAGCCGAAAGCGAAGAAAGTAGAGCAGTCCAAGCCCAAGGAAGAGCAGTCCAAGGCGAAGAAAGAGGAGCAACCTACGCCCAAGAAGGAGGAGCTACCCAAAACTAAGGCCACCGGTGCTGATGAAGCCGCCGCCGCACCGCAGCCAACGAACGGTTGGGAAGCTCCTCTAGAAACTGGTGAGCAGGAGATCTTTGTGCCCTCGCGTAAGCTGCAACTGAAGCAGGCCAACAGCAAGCTGCAGAAATCGACGCCCAAGCAGGTGGCGCGACTGCAGTTCGCCACTCCACAGCCGGGAAGTGCCAAGCGTGTGCGGATTATGACCAAGAGCAACTGCTCCTATCCCAAGAGCGACTACTACCGCCAGCTAAAGCTGTCGCCGCAGCTGCCCTACGACGCGGATCGCCTGCCCGGCAAGAGCGCCCTCAAGCCGCATGTGCTGCCGGGTCCGATTCATCCTAATTTCAAGGGAGCCAAGCGGCTGTTCAACGACACGCTGTGACGTTGCGTCCAGTGGCTGCAACTGGAAACGGAACAGGATGAGGAACATTAATGTGGACTTGGTGCTCTAATGGTATAACCCCAGAGGGACTGCAAACCGGCGCTCCTGTCGCCAGATGAGGAGGGAATGCTTTCACATCAAACACAATCCCACTTCTTGACATGGCTTTGGAGATTAAGTTAGCACATCCACAATAGACATGTCTTATGCTGGTTTTATAACAAGTCTACTTATAATTGATTATACTCATGCTTCCGTTCGATATTTTGCTTTTTTAAAGTGTTCAAAAGCCTTAGTTTAGTTACGAATGCATTTTCAATATTCCAATACGGTTGAAATTTGCATGCTTTGTGTGCTGCGCTGGCTAAACAATTTGTAAGGTTTATTATTTTCTACCCGCATAAGATCCGCATAAGACATGTACTAAATGTAACCCCTTATACTTATAGTAGCTACAATTACGACTTAATGTACTATTTGCTTGTAGGCCATTTTATGTTCAAGCTATCCTCTGAGTTGATATTGAAATAAAAGCAAACGTAGTATATGTAAAGTGAAATGCGAAGGTGAATATATTCTACTGTGGTGGAAAATACAGTTGGAGCTGAAGAAATGTAGAATTTATCAGGGACCGTAAATAATCATTATTTGAGATTTTTATTTTAAAAAGACTACTGTGATATTTTGTTTTAAACGTCAAAAATAACGTTCTTTTTACTCTTGTCCACAAAGTATATGCATTTCAACAAATCTGGAAAGCAAATTATCTGTTATTTGTTCATGTCTATAAAGTGCATAAAAACCAGTTAAATTGTTGATTAAAACTTGTAAAAACCTCAGTAGGCCTTTTAAAATAAAAATCTCAAATAATGATTATTTACGGTCCCTGGAATTTATACTTATTTGGTATTTTGATTAAACAAATTTTTTTTGAGTCTTCAATGTTTTCCCGCTTTAAGCAAAGACTTACTAAAATACTAAAGGTTTCTTCACCAATTTGACATAACTTCGTAACATCAAATTTATTGAGATGTTGAAATTAGTCTCGCAATCCAATAAAAATAATATCGGTTTTTTTTTTGGATAGATAAAGGAGGGTCCCTGCTCTACTTTTTAGGATAGAATGCACTATATTTCGCTAAAGGATGTAATTTATTAAATTGTTTTGTTTAAGAAGTAGCGAGCATACAAATCTGTCACATTTCGGATATATCTGAAATCGAAATGTTATTATTAAAATTTTTCTTCTCACAATTCCAAAACACTGTTCGTAATCGATACATACATTTGGAATTTAGGCGTTCCGAAATGGTCTTAAAGTTTCCTTAAAAAAAATTACTTATACGACACGTATGACAGTTGGATTTTAAAAAAATAGACAAAAATCGTTCTCACAAAAAACCTTGTAAAATTATGAAATTTGTTTAAAAATTGGTTTAAACAAGAAAGGAAGCTACCTTCGGCCAGCCGAAGCTTATATACCCTTGTAGATAAAAGAATACTCACTCGGTGTAGTTCCAGGGATTCCAGATTCAGCGTTTCGATTTATTTCAATTTTGTTTTTAAGTAGTCAAGAATCAAAACGCCTACTTCCTACAAAGTTACAATGAATTTTCTTATATTTGTTTGGGAGCCTTAAGATATAGTGGTCCGATCCGGCTCGCTCCGACATATGTACTACCTGCAATAGAAAGAAGACCTTCGGGAAAGTTTCATCGCGATAGCTTTAAAACTGAGAGACTAGTTCGCATAGAAACGGACAGACGGACAGACGGACATGGCTAGATAGACTCGGCTATTGGTGCTGATCAAGAATATATATACTTTATGTGGTCGGAAACGTCTCCTTCACTGCGTTGCAAACATCTGACTGAAATTATAATACCCTCTACAAGGGTATAAAAAGGAAGGCAAAAAACTGCACAGGTTAAATCTATACCACCTATATTAAAAAACCTTTTTGGTCGAAGGCAACAGTGCGTATAAGTGATAAACTTTCACCTTCTTTCTATAATGTTTTTGACTGTCCCAACATATAGTTCTCCTCTTTCCAATAGTGTTAATCTAAAGTTCCTTTAGGTCATTAAATTGTTGTCCAAATTGTCTCCCTTTACTCAGTTTGAGTCCTGAGTTTACAGTCAGAAAATGTAGTCGACTACATTGCATTTGAGAGAGCACATCGCATGCAACAAAATTGGTTGTACTCAATGTTCCCTTTTTTACTCACTCGGCTCAGCGCTTGAGTTTTGAGTTTACATTTCACATTCTGTACACTTTCACTCCTCTTGCTGTTGAGTTAAATAAATTGCATTTAAGAGAGCACTTCGCATGCAATTGCAGCTAAGAGACAAACATTTAGAAACTCAACGAAAAAGCTCAATGATTTTAAGTTTGGCTCACTATGAAATGTGATATGCTCGAATGTTAAAAAGTGCCACTCAATCCAATGAGAGCCAGTAAAAAAGGATAGGTTAATCTATTTTGTGTACAAGAACTTTTACCGAAATATTTTTTAAATAAATAATAAAGTACAATGATAAATAAATATGCAAACAATTTCGGACTGGAAAAATAGTATTCAATTATTTATTTAAATAAAACCAAAGTTCAATAAATACTCTTTATTGGATTTCACTAGATTGAGGCTTAATTTGATTGTATTATTCATTTTAGTTATCCTGCTATAATTATTCCAATTCTATAGGGTTGTTTTTATGAATCTCTTTCTCTTTTGATTATTGCATTTTGCGGTTGGTGTGAATTAAAAGATATTCATACGGATGCACAACACAATTTACAAACAGATTTGATCCCATCCATGCAAAATGAACTTCCGATCCGTCCAACACAATTGGTTGAATAATAAATTTTCATAATAATTGAATATTTGCCACCGCAAAATGGGAATCGATTGCGGATGGAGGGGAAACGGGAGGAGGTGTGACATGTTCATAAATCTGTTTAAAGTGGTTGATGGCCAGCAACAATAACAGAATTCATTTCCTCGAGGATAACATCTGTTCAGAAGTGTTGCAACACGATTGAACAAATTAAGTTTCGCACAGGACCAGCAGGCACAGGACACGTTAACTTTCTACACATTTGACGCATGTTTTGTCCTCCTGGCATTGGTAGCCCACTTCAGCTCACTCGATTCGCTCTCATCCTTCACAATTCCTGTTGACAATCTGTTTAAGTTGCGTAAATCCCAGCCAAACAAGTCGGTGTTTCTGTATGTCCAAGTACACACGGCACTCCACTTGAGTTGTGTGTGTCTATCGAACGGCTGGGAAACTGGAAAACTATTTCCCTACGGAAAAACCCAACCTGTCTTGTCGCCACCTCATTTTCCTTTCAATGCTGTGTTCTTGTCTGCATGTCTTGTGTATTAAAACTTGTCGAAAATTTATTCAATTTACGTGCACTTAGGCGACGATTGTACATTAAGATATGACGCAAAGCTTGAACCAGGGCGCAGCTGATCCGCATCCTCCCCCAGACTTCTTTGTCCCCTGGACGCTCCAATTGAATGCTCGGTAATGGATATGGATACGTGGAAGTGTCGGCAGACTGAGGAAGGTGACACACAAGTGTGTACATCTGTGTAATTGGTTACCCTTTGCAGGCAACTAAAAATAGTTGAACTTAAACTAAAAACTTTCAAAAAGAGTTCTATATTTTAGATAATTTATTTAAAAATTTTTTTGAAATACATTACAAAATATAAACTGTTTTAACTTTAACAAGTTTAATAGGTGACTTACACAAGTGTGTACATCTGTGTAGTTGGTTACCCTTTGCAGAGAACTAAAATAACTAAACTGAAATGAAAAACTTTCAATAAAATTTCTTTATTTTACAAAACTATTTCTAAAATATTTTTTGACTTAAAAATCATTAACATTTTTTAACTTTAAGTTTAATGGAATTTATTAAAAATTAAATTTATTTTTGTATCAACTTAAGTGACGCATTACTTTGTTAATATTTTCTGAAGTTAGAAAAATTTCAAAAATGGAATGCTTAACTTTTTTGCGTGCATTGCCGCCTGAATCATTTATTTGATTGCTCCAGGTCCAGCCCCTTTTTCCCAGCGTAATGCCGACTATTTTTAGCTCTTTAATGGATCGCAATCTATTTTTTACCCAATCAAATCTGGGTGTACGGCTTGAACTTTGGCGAGGCTATAAAAGCCAACGGTCGGTCAGTTGCGCAGTTCAAGTGCACGGCAATTGTTCAGGAACGGAATCCGCGGATATGGGTCTTATGGATTGGATTGTGGTGATATGTCTTTGGGGCTCCTTAACGTCCTCGATATTGGCATTCAAGAACTGTGGGACGGACAAGCAATGTGTGCCCTACGAACAGTGCAACGAGGGCCTAACCGTTGAGGGAAAATTCTATCCGGATCGTAGTAGGACTACTTTGGACGAGAACTGTCACTATATGGAAAAGTGCTGCAATATTCAAGATACAGTGAGTAGAGCACTGCAAAAAATATACAATGATAAGGCAGTGAAAGCAAGCTAGAAGAAATTGAAAACCATTTCGTTTTAATCCCTTTAAGATTTTTATACCCGTTACTCGTAGAATAAAAGGGTATATTGTATTCGTGAAAAAAGTATGTAACAGCTGGAAGGAAGCATTTCCGACCCTATAAAGTATATATATTCTTGATCAGGGTCACTAGCCGAGTCGATATAGTGTATGAATAACGGGTATCTAATAGTTGGCGCACCCGACTATTGCGTTCTCTCTTGTTTTTACCTAGTTGACAGTCGACAACATATTTGTTTGTAATTTAAATCCCTTAAAAAGCCATTATTTTTTTTATCGTAAAAAGATTATTTATCCTTAGCTGAAGTGTTAAAATGTTTGTGCAAAATGTTTTTCACTTTACAAAGTTTTTCTATTAAAAAAAACCTTTGTTAAGTTTTTTTCACAATTAGTTTTGCTATGGCAACCAACTAATAAATACTTGCAGAATTTTAATTAATTAATTAAATTAAATTCAACAGCTCTCGTCACCAGAACTCCCTGCGGAGGCACCCAACTGGCCATGTGGGGGTCGCCATGATCTCTGGTACTATCTACGCCCGCTGGGCTACAAGCAGCAGGAGGCCAAGTTCGGCGAGTTTCCCTGGCTGGTGGCGGTCTACGGGGCGGATGATTATCTTTGCAGTGGAGCTCTCATCACTCCGTTGGCGGTGATCACCACGGCTCAGTGCATCCAGAGTGTGGAAGCCGAGAAGCTTCGTCTGGTGGCTGGAGAATGGGATGCGGCCGTGGAGCTGGAACCTCTGGCGCACCAGAAGAGATCGGTGGCTGAGTCCTTGGTGCATCCCAACTACACCCAAATGCCAATGGCCAACAACGTGGCTGTTCTCCTGGTGGACAAGGAGAAGCCCTTTCTGCTGGCTCCCAATGTTCAGCCCATCTGCCTGCCGCCCCCGCGAATGGCGTACAACTACAGTCAGTGCTATATTTCCGGCTGGCAGAAAGGGGACTTTGGGGGATCAGCGATCCTGCCCAAGCGATGGACCCTCTATGTCCTGCCAAAGGATCAGTGCAGGACCAAGCTGCGATTGTTGGGACGACGCCACGCCCTCAATGATAGCCTCTTGTGCGCCGGCGGCGATAAGGGAGACTTCATCTGCGGCGATGTGGACATGACCGGAGTGCCTTTGATGTGCCCTCTGTCCGGCCACGACGACCGATTCCTTCTGGCCGGCCTCTTAACCAGACCAGCTCGCTGCGAAGGCCCACAGTTTCTGGGAATTTACACGAACGTCAAGCTGTACCGCCAGTGGATCGATCTCAAGCTGAGGGAACGCGATCTCGACATACGGCAGTATATGGTGTAAAATGATCCCTAAGACCCGATAAATAAACAATAATATAACAGAAAACTTTTCTGGGTTTTCTTTATCATTATAATTTATAAATTGATTTTACAATCGTTTTTAATTTTGTTATAGTAAATTAGGAACTTATCTTTTGATTTCCGCACTTGGCTTATTCACTTTAATTATAGAAAATAAATTTTGACGGGCTTAGATTAATTTACAAAAATATATTTTTCAGTGTAATCCTTCTAATGTTTATTTACTTAATTTTTTCCTCTTCACAATAAAACCTATTCATTGCTGGGAAAATCCAGGAATTTCTATGTGACTTCTTTGCACTTGCCTATAAAAGGCCCCAGAAAAGGTTTGATCGTTCAGCTTTGTGGATGGCAACACACCTGGATTGGCCTCCAATACCCATGGAGACTCAACTACTTTTGCTGCTGATGGGCCTCTGGCTTCCTCTAGCCAGTGCCAAAATAATCTCCAGGGAAGAGCCTTACGAGGATGACTTTGTGGCTGTGGACTTTAATGGTTGCGCCAAGTGCGAGGAGAACTACAGGAACTTTGTGTTCGTCCTGAAAAATTCGGAGCTGAGTGAAGCGGAGGCCGCCGCCGTTTATCCATATGTGGCATGCGTTATGTGGCTCGTTTTGGCTGCCCTGGTGATTGGCCAACGATGCCGGAAAATAAAAAATAAGCTATAATATCGTTATGAAAATCACTTAATAATTTTTAAATTTTAAAGAATGTCTGCGGTATTATGCCTATCTATTGGGCACACATCGATTCTTCTTTGTATCCAACAATTCGATTGATCTTTTTTCTCGTCCCTAATCCAAATGCAATTTCTTTTTGTATTTTTTAAGAGTGTGTGTGTGTCGATAATCATTAATTCATCCTTTAGAACAGCGTCCGTTGTTAATTAATAGCGCTTTACGCCAGACCGACGGTTTGGGTCCCTCACTCGCTGGACTCTCATTTGTCCTTTGGGCAGTTTCGGATTTTGGCAACTCGCGTTGAATTATGGCTGGGCGATATGTGGCCGCTGTTTTGCATATCCTCCTCCTTCTGCCTAAATTGAAAATTGAAAAATTGCTTATTGCAAATTTGTTGCCCGCAATCGCATGGCCATACGACACGGAAAAGCAGAAAAGAGAACCGAAATATCGTTACATGCTCTTTGCTCTTTTGAACTTCCGTTTGCCATTTTGGCGTAGTGCACGTGCCGGACAGCGGACAAGGGACACCGGACTTGGAATCGGACGGAGGATGGAGAATAGAGGACTGCGGAGTAGGGACTTCGGAAGGGTCCTGTCCTGTCCATTCCACCCGCTGGCTGTTGCTGCTGCTCTTGCTCCTGCTGCCGTTTCCTGTGCGAGAATTTAGCAATATATTTTTCTTACTCCGTTTGACGTCCTTCGTATCTGGCCAACTGCAATAGCCAGCAGCAACCAGTGATGGCATCAACTTAAAAAGGAAATAGAAAAACGTATTGCTAGGTAGAAATATTTAATTTTACAAAAATATTGTAGGTAAAATTCTCCCTTATTTAGTTTACTAAATAATTGTAGGTAAATTGTTGAAATATTCTAGGTATATATTTTAGGTAAATTTAAAAAAAATTAAATATTACATAATTGTTATGAGGGAATTTAAATTTAACAAGAATCAATTTTGTTATTATTTATCAAATAATGTTAATTAAAATTAAATGAATTTTGGTAACCTAAGCTAGGCTAGTTTAAGGAGCGGAAGTTTGACATTTTATCGAACTAAAAAGGACAAATCGACAGCTCTGCAGCCAACTGCAGTGGCATTGGCAATGGAAATGGAAATGGCCAAATAGCCAGAGCGAACAGAACGTTAAAGGAAAATAGGAAACTTTTGCATATTTTGTACTTTATGCTTGAAATATTTATGATCTCATGCAATTTGTGGCTTACTGCTTGGTCTTGGCCATCGTCTGGGTGGTTTTGGACCGGTCTGGTGTGCTTGGCTGGTTCCTCCGCTGGCCACGAGAACCACATCTAGCGACGTGTCTGCCAATCTGTGAAATATGCTGCTAATGCACTTATTGCCATCGTTCTATTGAATTTATGTCGGAATCGTCTCAGACTTGTGGTCTCTGCATTTGATGGTTTTCCCCTTCCCGTTCTCTAATTTAGGGCGAATTTTTGTGGCACTCACTTCCCTGGGCCCACGCCCCTGGCACTCAGCCTAATTGTGCTTCCGATTCATTCTGAGCATAATGGTCATGGGCCATTGAAGCCTTTGCACTCGACATCCGGCAGTCGCAATGATACCTATTTTAAAAACTAAAACTGTTAATGAGAGGTGGTGCTAGATTGGGATAACTGCATATGCGTTATTTTAACTAGGCTACTTTAAAGTGTTTCATAGAAATTTTTAAAGGTTTATCTTCTTTATCTAATTTTGTTCACATTTGTTTTTGTAAAGACACAATAAATGTCATTATCGTCATTACTGCAACTTTTCAAGATTTTTGTGGCTTTGTGCCGACCACGAAAATGCTTAATCAATTGAAAATTAGCCGTGGAAAGCGTACAATGCTCATGGTTGCAGTATTTTAATCTTTTATTGCTGCGGAAATTTGTGTAGCAAATTTTCGAACACACACATTTTTCAAGCCCACTCGCCAGCAGGAACAAGTCTGACAATCCGAAATCTACTGACCAGGCAAACTCAGTCGGACTCTAGCCGACAGCCCAACCAGGATAAGGATGGTTCCTCTTCTTCTATTACGGTTCTGGGTCCTGAAACTGCATGCACTTCCGTTAAGGAAATTACCAAACAACCCGCGCATCCGGCAGATGTGCGCCCGCAGTGCTGCCAGCCATTTCCAGACATCATTGTCCTCATCCTCTGCCCAGGATAACGGGAGAGCATCAAAATGAAGTGAAATTAATAAAATGCCTGGAAGCATGCTACTTGGTTTTCTCCACGGATATCTGCTGGTTTCCACTAAATGATGGTTGGATGAAAAACCATTGCTATTGGTAGTTAATGGGGCTTAGAAATGGGAACTCGATCTCGATCGATATATTTAAATTAGATTAACAAACATTTGGCCAGGGATCTTATGATTAAAATAGAAAAGATTTCGAAACAAATATAATTAAAAACAAGAGGGAACGTTATAGTCGGGTGCCCCGACTATCAGATACCCGTTACTCAGGTAAAGGGAGTGCGAGGGAGATGGAGATAGAGATAGAAAACGTTGATCACGCATAACTTTTTAACGAATGGTCCGATTTGAAAAATTTCTTTTACATTTCGATAGGTATTGATAAACACAATAAAACTGCATTTTTACTTTTCCAAAATATTAAAATTTTTAAAATCGTATATAAGCGATTGTGGGCGTTAGAGGGGGCGTGGCACCATTTTGAAACAAACTTGCGCTGCGTAGGAACTCCTAAAATCTGCATGCAAAATGCCAATCTTCTAGCTTTTATAGTTTCTGAGATCTCAGCGTTCATACAGACAGACAGACGGACAGACGGACAGACGGACATGGCTAGATCGACTCGGCTAGTGATCCTGATTAAGAATATATATACTTTATGGGGTCGGAAACGCTTCCTTCTCCCTGTTACATACTTTTGCACGAATACAATATACCCTTTTACTCTACGAGTAACGGGTATAACTATCGTTTTTCTTTTGAAGTTTTTAGCTATTCTTATTTTAGGGAAATATTAAAAATATTATTTTGAAAATAAACTATTTATTTATACTTTAAGGAAAGGTATATTTGTAATCTTACTCATAAATCTAGCATGATATTTAATAATATAATTGTGCTTTCAATATTAGATTTACAACAAATGTGATAAGATACACGTTAGTAAATATTGGTAAAGTTTCCACATGATAATAGTACTTATAGTAATCTCTACGGGTTTTATTTTCCCAGCGACTTTTCAAACAAGTATGTTCCGTAATCGTTTTATTAGTTTTCGGATCCATGTTAATACTTTTCCTTGGCTGCAGCTCAGAGCAGTCAAAATCTGAGGCGAACCCATCCTTTTAGTTATTTTAATCATAATTTTAAGCACACCCGACCGCACACGGCAGTCGAGTCGGTGGATAAGGTAAGTCCGCTATTTCTTATTGCAAATCCCCCCTCTTCCCGGAATTTTACTTTGCAAACTCATCAAAGTTAAGTTGCCTATGCCTGGGCAATATCGGTGGGAGCTGAGATGGAGATGGCTTGGTAGTAACTTAAGCTGCCACAGCGGCAATTCGACGTGGAAGTTCCCACAGTTGCCGGCAAATATATGTAAGTGGGTTCTATCTGTATAAATGAAATATAAGCGGGGGTGAAAGTATCTCATAGATGCTGCTATAACTTGTCTCGAATTTGTGTTTGCTTTGCCGAATTTTCATTTCAATTTTCTTGCAGTTTTATTTAATCTCACTTGAGGTGCAGCAGCCAATGCTCTCGAGTGTTTGCCATGAGTTGGGGTTTTCTTGGAGGTTCGTATTTATTGCCAAATACTTGTACTTCTGTATTTTCATCTCCTTGTTTACTCTTGTTATTTGGCAATTTACACAATTACCTGTATATATCTTCATAATAGCTGGCCAACTACTACAACTAATATACTGATATTTAATTTAGAATTGAATAACAGAGTTGAGTCTCCTGTTCAACCGGAGATTCTTGTATTTATTTACTTGCCATTTCAATTTTACTCCAATTTTAACTTAATTAATTTGTCTATCTTTGGGTTGTTTTTAATATTTGCTCTGCATTAACTTGAACATACATTTTTGTTTATTTTCTTGGCAGAGCATTTGGCTTGTTATCTTGAAACTATTTTGTTGGCAAGATCTGGCTATTGGTTTGCTATTGTTGAGCGTACTCAATGACAAAAGTTTAGCAAACAAAACTGTTTGCCCCAGCCACTTGGGCACCTTTTTCTTTGCATATTTGTCTTGCAAACTCTACAATCGCTTGGCAGAAATGTTCACCCAAATATAAAGTGGAAGGCAGAATGCCATGAATGAGAGTGAATACGTATGTAGGTATGCATTTGGCCAAGCACACATCTGACTTCCACTTTTCTTTCTCGTACTTTTTGTCTGTTGCAATTTGTTCCCAATCGATTTCCAAACACTTGGAATTTATTGGTTTTCAAAAGTTTTCCAAATTTTATTGTTTCCGCTAATTCCTTTTGTCCAGAGCTGTTAGAATGGTATACGGTATATGGAATGGTCTGCAGGTCTGCCTTCTTGGTCGAAAAGTTTGCCCGGAAATGAAAGCCATTGAATTGAAGGACCTTTGTGCCCGGGTGTTAGTAGAATCATTTCTTGATTTTTATGCCGATTTTGATTTACCTAAAACAAGCTTTCACATATGGACCTAAGACTTTCTCAATTCATAAAATCAACTTTGGAAATATTTTTATGGGTTAAATATAAAAATATTTTGTAAAGAAAATATTACAAATTGGTTGAATTAAAAATTGAATTTCATAATTTAAATATTTTTTATATTTATTTTGTAATTGTTGTCTAAAAAAAACAGTACTAAATATTTGAAAAAATACTAATTAAATGTTTAATCACATTTATTTATGTTTTATGTTTCTAAAGGACAAATAAAATAGGACACATTCTTTCCACTCTATTATATAAAAATGTTAAATAAAAATGCAAAATTTAAAGCTTATAACTTTTTTGGAAGTTTTGAAGCAATCCTAACTTTCGTTAAAATTTTGTTTCAGTGAAAAAGTGTTTTATATTTTAATTGAAATCGAATTCTGCGAATGTCTGGCAATATTCGCCATCATCTGTTGGCATTCAATGTCCTTTGCGCATGTCCTTCGCCTTGAGCTGCTCAGCTGTGCCGCATTGTTTTCCTGCTGTTGTCGTCGGGAGTAAAATTTTTGTCCTACTGCCAAAAAAACTGGAAAATTAAATAGCACAGATTACAAGTTTTACTAGGAACAAAATTAAGAAAATTTCTCCACCTAAACTATAAGTGGTTTATAAATAAAGTAACTAGCCGAATTAAATGTACTGAAAAGGTGATAAAAGTGTGTTTAAAGCACCTACTTCAATGCACTATGTGAAAATAATTTAAAAAGCATTGCTTAACGCGCAAAATCGGCTAGAAAGTATTTATTATGGATAACCAGAGGCATTTTTGTGGATTGAAATAGCTTAATGCAAAATAATTCACGGCAATCTTCGCACAGATTTTATTGATTTTTCCCTTTTAATTGGCCAGCAAGGAAAAGTCTGCGGAGAGCGCAATCTCTGTCTGCTCACGGCTTTCCTTTTTCCCTCTCTCTGGAAAAGCCGCTCTCTTCTTTGTCCTTTGTTTTGCTTAGCTTGTTCGCAAATAAACAACTCAATTCACCCACGAAATGCCAGGAAAATTAAATAACACTAGAAATGCCAAAAAATAAGAACTCCCCAATGACATATTACATATGAGTGCTCGAAAATAGCCAAAAAGCATAGGGAAAAGTACCGCCCTGAGACCACAAACTAATCCCCCGATCCCTGCACTCCAACATGCTGAATAGCCGGAGCCCCCCTCAGCAATACAAGCAGCAATCCCCGGGGGGCTCCGTCGGCTCCATCGGTTCCCTTGGCTCGCTGAGTTCCACCAGCTCCGCGTCCCAGTTGTTGGGCCACTACCAATCCGCCTACGGACAACAGGGTCACTCGCACGCCTGCTACCAGCACCACCTGCAGCAGCAACATCAACAGCAGCAGCAGCAGCATCTGCAACATCAGCAGAAACACCAGCAACATCATCATCACCACGGAGGACGCACCTCACTCACCCCCACCATGAAGCGGGGCAAGAAGCAGTGGGGCACCAGGGAAAGGTCCGGCATGAGTTTCCTCATCGTCATCACCTTTTTCGCCGTTTTTGGATTGATCATACTGACCGAGGTAAGTCCAGAAAACAGTTACAAATATTTAATAAGCTCACCGATGAGAAAATAGTTCAATACCATAGTATAAATAAATAAAATATATGGCATAAAATATATATATTTTAATACTAGATAACAGGCAATTCCCACCAGTAATTGTTGATAATTAAAAATCGCTATAACATTTTAGTGCGCTAAATAACTATTACGAAACTCAACCTATAACGTTATTATAACAAGAAAAACAATTTAATAACATTTTTTTCTTAAATTTTCATTTTTTTGATTAGTTAATTTACTTTCAAGAAATTATCATTATTTCGTTGTATTCAATGGCTTTTACTTACCTGTATGATTTCGACTAAAGTTTAAGTAATTAGAACTAACATCTTTAATACGTTATATGACAATTATTATAGCAAACGATTTTAATCTAAAAATCCCATGCCTTTTTTTCTAGTTTAGCTGAACATAAAAAAACTAATCTAGCACTGTAACTCTTCATTTTCCATCTTAATTAAATTAAAAATGCAGCCATTCTTAATGAGAGCCACTTGAAATTCAAATTGACACAAGGCATTGCCTTCCCATCCTGTTTTCCGCAGGTCTTCATGATCGACGAGCGCACCCACAGCGGAATGTTGGCGATGCGGGCGGGCGGCGGAGGAGGAGCCAGTCTGGGCGGTCGGATGGGCGACTCGATGCCGGATTATGATAATGTTAAGGTAAGTTTGGGCTATGCAAATCGGGCCACAGGCAGCTTAGTGGACAACTCGTTCGTTAAGGTCCTTAAAATGCGGTGAGAACACAAAGATGTGCTTTTTGAAACGCGAGGAAAAAGATTTGAATACCTAATCAAGGTATGCGAAATTTTATTCATTTCAAATTGAGAAATTAACGTATTATACAATTATTTCTGGTCCGGTTTTATTAACTTAATAAATAAGAAATGTAGTATAAACATTTTCAGTAATCTTCGCATTAAAATAATGAAAACGAATAAATGCCTTCTTAGTACCGTCTACTAAAATATTAAATTATATTTATTTCCAGGACGATTACGATCTATTGGATGCCAGCATTTTGAGTGATAATAAATTAGGATTTATACAGCTGCGTGACAATAAACTAAAAATTCAAGGTAAGAATCGAATCTAATCTCGCAAACACACAATGAGCTTGCCAATAATGGGAAACGAGAAAGGCTGTCGGACGACGACAAAGAAAATGGCTGTGATGACAATGGGACATTACGTATACGCCGCATGTCTCATGAATTTTCCAATTTCCACAGAAGCCGCAGGCGCCGATGGCCAGCGCTTGGCAGCCGGAGTGCTCGTCAATGGAGGCGGAGGCGGTGGAGCGGGAGCGTTTGGCGTGAATGTACCGCTCATACCCTGGGGCCAGGTGCTGCCCGGCAAGGTGGAGGAGACGCTGCCCCACTTCCCGTTTGGCACTCGGCCAACCGACGGCTCCTGGCAGGTTGTCAACGGCACCCGCTTCAAGTTCTTTGTCTACTCCGCCTACTTTGATCGGCGCGAAGGAGCGCGCCTGGTGCGAGTGGTGGGTGCCACCAAGACACGGGGACCGGAGCGGGTCTGGTGTCGCTTCTGGTACGGCCCAAATCCAGCCAATGCCACGGATGCGGGCTCCTCCTCGGCACGTTCCAAATACTCCTCGGCCACTGTAATGGCTCGCGTCAAGGTGAGTCGGCTTCATTCCGCATTTTCCCCATGACCGCACAAATACTGCCTTAAATTAAACAAAAAATGTATACATTTTTTAAAAACTTTTTCCGGGTAAATTGCAAGCAACTGATTATCTAGATAGGTACAATCGAATGCAGTCAAAAAATGAAACTCGAAAATATAAATTTTAGTTAATGTATTAAATCTGAAACTTGGCTAAAAAAGTATAAATTTCTAATATTTAAAAGGAATAAGACAAAATGTGCTCAGTAGTAGCTCATGTCTATTGGTTTGCATTAATATCCTGAATCAAAAACTGAATTAAATTTTAAATATTTTACTTCTAATCTAAATAGTATTAAAATAAATAAAGAGTCTATCGTAAACTCTTTAAACAATCAACAAAATGAAAACTTTTAAAATAAAATTAATCTAAGACCTTTCATTGAACTTTTTTTAGGAAAAAACGAGGACGGAAGCTAACTTCGGCAAGCCGAAGTTTTAATACCCTTGCAGATTTTACGAATTAAAACTTGACTAGACTAGCAACATGAATTAATAAACAACAAAATATTTTATAATTGAAAAAATAAAATTTTAAAATTTTTCACCCTATTGTTCCTATGGGAGCTATAGGATATAGACGCCCGATCGGCACGCGCGTTTACCCTAATGAAGGTACGCACAAAAAAATACGATTTGGAAAGTTTCATGGGAATAGCTAATATTTTGCGCGAAATATCCTGAAAAACGTCAAATTTTGACCGATTTCACCCTATTGTTCCTATGGGAGCTATAAGATATAGACGTCCGATCGGCACGCGCTTTTACCCTGATCAAGGTACTCTTACACTGAGCGAAATATCTTCATTTTTGTGAAAGCTATATCCGATTGTTCCTATGGGAGCTATAGGATATAGACGTCCGATCGGGTCGGCTTTCAAACTTGATCTGCGTACACATGTTTTAGGACGACTGTGAAAGTTTCAAGGCGCTAGCTTTTAAACTGAGCTCGCAAACGGTATTGAAACAGACGGACAGACGGACAGACGGACATGGCTATATCGACTCCCCTATTGATCCTGATCAAGAATATATATACTTTATGGGGTCGGAAACGTCTCCTTCACTGCGTTACAAACTTCTGACCAAAATTATAATACCCTCTGCAAGGGTATAATAATCCTAGATAAATATGGCAGGCAAACTGTTAAAGGGACACTTTTCATTTTTCTTTAAAAAACTATTTACAATTTAAATTTTAAATGTTACACATATTACTAAGAAATTTGATTCCCAACTTGTATTACCATATTTCAGATCATTCGGGAGAACTGGAATCTGAAGTACAGCGCCTGTTTCATCCTGTGTCCAGTGCGCACTCCTCCCATTGGAGTTCCCCATTTTGTGAGCGTGGTTTCCCGCCTGCGCGCTCCGCCCGGTAACCTACTAACCCTGCGGAATACCGACCAGGATGCGGACTTTGCAGCGATATCCGAGCGGAATGTGAGTGCCAAGAAAGGTGGAGTGCCGGCGGGTCGACCCCCGCCAAGTGGCGATAATATACCCGATCGCATAGCCGTCTGCGTGAAGCCCTTGCACTTTAACTACGATCAGGCGCTGTATCTGATGGAATACCTGGAGTTTTACGCCCTGCTGGGGGTATCCCACTTTACATTTTACAATCACACCCTGGGACCGCATGCCTCCTGCGTCCTGCAAAGTTATCAGCAGGGCCTGGTGCCCGGAAACCTGACCGCCCATGATCTGGAACCGCTGCAGCCCGCGGAGGCGGCCAATAATGCAACGCCCCGTGTTCTTAGGACGCAATACCAACGACCCACGGTCAGCATCCTGCCGTGGAACCTGCGCATGCGCAGCCAGAAGGAGATCCGCACCGAAGGACTCTTTGCGGCCCTAAACGACTGCCTCTACCGCACCATGTACCGCTACAAGTATCTGGCCCTGGTCGATCTGGACGAGTTCATCGTTCCCCGCTACTCGGACACGCTAAACGAGCTCATTGGGTGAGTGTTATTGTTATATTATCTCTAAAGATTATACAAAATTATATAATATTATTATTATAATATATATTTTTCTAGATCCCTTAATCAACGCTTTCGTAATCGCAACACGGGAGCCTATTCCTTCCAGAACGCCTTCTACTATCTTCAGTTTGCCGACGATAGCCTGGCTAGTTCGGGAATAGAAGGCGGCAACGACCAACTGGCCAGTGTGCGGGCTTCCCTGGTCACCCAACGAAAGACACGCAGGTGAGTGGAGCTCCTAAAGAGGATGATATACATACTTTTGATAGTATATACTAACACTCGGTACTCTCCCAGGCGCTATAAGCTGCATCCTCAGAAGCAGCGATCCAAGTACATTTGCAAACCGGAGGCAGTTGTCGAGGCGGGCAATCATTTCGTGTGGGAATTTGCTCCGGGAAAAGGATCACTCAATGTTCCGCCAAAGGAGGCCATTTTGCAGCATTATCGGGTGAGTTTACAAAAATAAATAAAGACAATTTTCTAAAATTTGGAATAAAGTTTGTAAAAACATTGATTTTAAGTTGTATTCCTTTTAAATTATTTCTGTTGTTCATATTAAGTAACATAAAATGGTTTTAAACTTTTAAATTTCTAAGATGTATTCAATGAATTTTTGTTTAGATATAAACAACTTATCAAAGTTTTCATTTTATTATATTAAGCTTAGTATATTTGCACCTACTTAGTAAATAGTATTTAATTTAATTTATTAGGGTTTAGAATTTTTGTTTAGATATAAACAACTTATCAAAGTTTTCATTTTATTATATAAAGCTTAGTATATTTGCACCTACTTAGTAAATAGTATTTAATTTAATTTATTAGGGTAAAAATGTTTAAATAATATTAAATTTATTTAAGAAAATATTATTTTATCTGTTTTTTAAATCTTTTTTTCTAGGTATGTGAATTCGGTGGCAACGACTGCATCAAGGCGCCCTCTATAGTGGATCGTACGACCACGAAGTATGTAAATCGTCTGGTCCAGCGGGTGGATGCCGTGTATCGCCATCTGCGCCAGCGTTGCGATCTCCCCGCCCTGCCCCCGCTGCCCAAGACCAAGGAAATGAGCAAGGAAAAGCCTAAAGAAGAGGCCAACGTGAAGCCCAAGTTGTTGCAGAAGATGCGGGAATCGAGTGCAAAGGTCACAACGAAGGAGAGCTTAATCAAAGGTGTGGTTGCCACAGCTACCACAACAACCCCAAAAACAACAACGACGACGAAGAAGGCAACAACGAAAGGAGTGGCAACGAAGAAATCAAACCCCCTTACCACGCCCATGATCACCACGGCAAGAACTTCGGCAGCCCCGAAACAATCGCATCCCTCGGCCAATGTCCGCAAGAAACGGAAGCTTATCGTTTTCGAGATCAATGATTTCGGGATTCCCGTGGCCCGGGTGGAGTATCAATGAGATTGGGACTTGGTTGGCAACATTTAGACGGGGTTTTTCGGTTCGTTTCTGTGCCAATTAGTTTGAAAATCTAATTTTGGTTGTGTTTCGGTGCGTTTGAATGCAGAATGCTCAACAATTGAACTGACCCTAAGAACTTAAGTGTATTCATTTGCTCACCCTAGAAATATAAAATAGCGCACGCACTTTAGAAAGCCCAAAAAGCAATACCACAAGATTCTAGCAATACGATCTCAAAGCAACGACATCAGCAACTACGAATACAGTATAGAATACACATTTGGTTAATTAAGAAATTGAAAAATCCTTTGAATACTTTTTTGAGTCCTAAAGAATATTTTTCAGTTATCTAAATTTTTTACTTATCAAAAAATGATTGATTTGATATATTTTTGAAGAAAAACAGAAGACGTTAAAATTTTCTTACTGCACAAAAAATACTCAGAAGATGCTAGATAGACGCAACTAAAGAAATTATCACTAATCACAATTTAGTTATTCTCTTTGATTTGGAAAATATTTTTCCCAATTTTGGTAATCCTATGCAAAATTATTCCTAAGCAAAATTCAGAAAATTCCTAACGCGAAATTCATATGTAATCTGAGCCATTGTTTCGTGTTGTAGACTAAGCAATAAAATATACAAAAAATATAAATTAAAGCAAAGGCATACAGATAATAAATATGTAATAATATTTAGCAAGGCAAAAGGTCCTCCGAGGTGTTCGCTTAGACTCTGAATTAGAGCTTAGGACATATCTGCGCTAGTCCTTAGACCTCTGTTGGCAGTAACTCAAACTCAAAGTAATTAGTTAAGGCTTACCAAAGAAACTGAAACGAATTTTCAATGCTTCGAAATCTGTATACTTTTTGTTTGGCTTAGCGCGCAAAAAGTATAAAATAATAATTAAGAAAATTTCATATAAAATGAATGAAATACACATTAGTAATAGTAATTAAGTGACAATTTCAGATACTAAAGAGATCTATTAAACACAAGAAGTCAATAAAATTGCAAGTAAGCAAACTAAGATAGAAATCAGGCGTTTCATTTTTATGGGAGATTTTCTGAATGAATGTCCTGCTCTTTTGTAAATCAATTGAGGGGAAAGCATTTGCTTGTTATACAGGACGTATGAACTATAAATGGAAGCCATAATTCACTTTATTTTCGCTTGCAATACAGGGCGTATGAGCTATAAATATAATAATTTTCGATGCAAACTATATTTTAGAACAGCTTTTCAGCATATAACAGTACACACAATTAAGTTTCACTTGGATATTCGAAAGCACAAAAGCTTAAACGTTCATTATAGCTCAAAAAAGTTTATAAATGCTATACACTATGGTTCGTATCCCTCCGAATTTCATTGTTATACATAAGCAAAAGATTCATTTCTATAACAGTTGAGAAATCCTTTAAGGGGAAAACACAGAGTTCATTTGTGAGATGATTTTATAAATAGGAGAACTAGTTTGAGTGCAAGTTTGTACTCAACTTATTTTCTCCATTTTAGTTTATATTTAAGTAAATAAATTTGATTTAATAAAATTCAGCAAATATTATTCAATTGTTTAATATATGATAAAATCATATCCCTCTTTACATGAAATTAAAAAACCACCAATTTATTATCCATGAAGGAGCGAATGCTGCAATATAATTATATTGAAACCCGATTGCGAAAGCCACCGCAAAAAATGTGTCGTTCCATTGACGAAGTTAATCGCTGGTTGTAAGCTGAAACTGAACAGGAAGACTTTCCTTCTTTTAAAATTTGCCCGTTTGTATTTCCGTGTGGAAAGTTAAAAAATGCTGCCTATCATTAAACTTTTAAATTACATTTTGCTGGTGTATATTTTTTGTAAATGTTTTTATAATTCATATGGTTTTCTCCCCTGTTATTTGAAATTATTAAATGAAATGAACTAATGAACCAAACTAAATAAATACTTTTTTTCCCAGAACATAAGCATTGCGTTTTTTGTTGCATTAAAGTAGAATTTATTTTGCTGCTCTTACCCCACACCTAATTACTAGAAGCTCTAATTTAGAATGCGATTCAGTGAATATTACTGCGAGGAGGAGGAGTCGTCGTCACTCGAATCCTGAGATTCCTGCGAACCAGAGCCGCCATTCTCGGTGGTCGTTTCCTCCTCTTCGGAGCTCGAATCGTCGTCGGTGGAATTGCGCTGATCCAGATACTCCTTGATGATCTCGTCCAGCTCTCGCTCCACACTGGGCTTCTCCAGCTGGTGCTGGGCCAAAGTCTGACCCACACAGCCGCTGGCATTGAGGCCAATGGCCAGCAGTCGGATGCCCTCGAGATTCAGGTTGAGCAGTTCCTTGGGAGCGGGGTCAAGTGCCTGCAGGGCCTTCTGGATGCCATTGCGGCAGGAGAGGAAGTTCAAGGGATTGTTCACACACTGCTCAACCTGCGCGGTCAGCTTGTTGGTGGCATTGTGGTATTTCTCAATCGTATGCTGCACATTCTGCTCGTAGGTGGCCTGTCGCACCTGCAACTCCTCCAGGCAGCTGTGCAGATAGCCGGCATATCGGCTGAGCAGCTCATCGAGGATCTCCTGGGCCTTCTCGTTGCCAGTGCCATTGGTCTCCCGATCGACTCGCTCCAGCTGAGCATCAGCCCAGTTGCTCCATCTCACCTGGATTTCGGCTAAGTACTCTCGCTTTTTCTCCTCCAGCCGATCATTCAGATTGTTTACGGCCAACTCGAGATCATTGGCGGCTGCATTGATTTCCTGCAATTTAGCTAAGGCATCCTTGAGTGCATTTCGCTGCAGGACGTTCCTCACCCTGTCTATTTGGCTATGCAGCCCTTCGATCGCGGACTGCAGGGTATAGCCAAATTCGGCTATGCCCTCGCTGGCTGCCTTGTGAACGGCATCGGCGATTTTCTGGGCAAACGCCACCGTTTCGTGTGTGTACTGATTGGTGGAGTTCTGGAGGGTGTTCAGGAAGTCCACTATGATGGCCGTTCCATTCCTGGTGGCATTCACTACGCCACTGATGATACTCTGGCTGGTCCTGTTCAGGGTCTCGAAGAGATCACCCCGGATCACTGGAGGCGGCGTCGAGGCCACCACACAAGTGGCACTGATGGCCAGGGCGAGCAGGAGCAGTGCTGGCTTGGTCGAATGCATCGTCGTTTTCCGTCGACTGATAGAACCATACCCCCGGATCTCCCTTTTATATAAATATCTCTAATATCTGTATTAGTGTGCTGGGCGAATATATTTACCCACTGGCTCAATTAGCTAATATTTAATCGTTTTTCATTTAATTGCTAATATTTAATCAGCCGCTTTTTGCCTGACGATAGACGATCAGTGCCTACTGGTTGGATAACTTTTTAAAGAAAGCCATGTATAAGCACAGTTATTGAATGAAAACGTGTTGCATTATGCGGATGAGAAAAAAGAAGAAAGTAGAAAAACTCTAAAAGATCGTGTAACAAAGTCGCTGGCCACACATTGTGGTGTTAATATGATGAGCAAAATATTGCCATCAACTATAAGCTATTAAATTATAATTAAAACTTAATTAGTTTAAGATAAAAAATAATTTTCATAAAAAAAAACGTATGTGGTTTTTAATGATTTTATTTTTATTTTTTAGTACGGCTGTAAATATTAGTTTTGAATTTAAGTTTCAAAAATTAAACCTCTCCAAATATTTATTGACAAAAATGCAATCATAAAATGGGATAGCCCGCTTTCGTATAAAAAAATAATAAAAACAAAATTAATTCGAGATGAAAACTCTTCTATTTAATTATATTAAAACCCTTAATAGGTATAGTTTCCGGTTCAACGCTTTCATATTTTTTATAACCAAATCTCTGCGTTTAAAAGCTGAAAATAAATCAAAAAAGTCAATTTAGCAAGCATTAAAATTAAAGTGTTCGCTATGCGGGCTTTGCACACATTCCTATAATGCAGCCTCAAACAATCGTATATTTCTGTATATACATATAAATTACCCTCCCCCGCATTTGCACAAGGACAAAGGTTAAACTTTGCTTTAATTTTGAAATTTATATGCCTGGAAAACAAAGGAGTGAGCGCATACCGTCAACTGTATGTATGTTTACGCTCAGGTTAAACCCTTTTGTGGCGAACTTTATGCATAACTAACCGAAAAGGACGCGGGGAAAGTGGGAGGATGTTTGGAGAAGGGGTTTTTGGGGTCTCACAGGTATAATGATTGTCTTCAGCTTGCCTTTATTATGACTTTAATTGTCGCTTGACAAACGTTGACACACACCGTCATGAAATACTCGGAAGGTATGTATATATGTCTTTCTACAAGGATATGGTGATGGAATGAGGGTGGTGACGATGTGGCGAAGCCTTGAGCGACATGCACTATGAACATTTTATTAGTCTGCTGTTAGTTTTGTTTAATTATGCTGTCATTAACTTTGTCGCACAGCCACACGCATAACTGCAAAACAAAAGCTTACATGTCTCAACGCAATTATTGCCGGAGTGGCCAACAAAGAGAGCTCGTCGCAGGACGAGTGCCCGCGCGGAGGGGCAAGGACAATGAGTCCTGGACTGGAGGACGACACCCACAGTCTTCTGGCTTTTTCCCCGTCTCCATTTTCCCTGTTTTTCCCACCTTCCCCCTGTGTTCCTCCAATGCACAGACATTTAATTTTGCATTTTCCACTAATTGGCTTGCATACTTGCCATATTCTCGCTTCGCTTAATTAATTTAATTAGAAATATGTTACAGCTCAAAAGAAATTCAAACCTCAAAAACGGTTTCGATAGCACGCAGCCCCGTTTAGCTTATGATAATGATGCCGCAATTGCAATTACATTACCTCTATAAAGAGACGGGTGGGATTGAAGGGACAGGTCGCCAGGTCGATTCGAAGGACACCACGTGAGGTGTGAGATATTCTGCTTTATTTAACGTTAGCAAATTTTAAGTGACACTTCCAAGAAGTATAGTGAGTTGGTTATTATAAATAACATAAATAATAAAAAAAATATATAATAAAATAAAAATATAATAATTAAATAACAATCATAGAAAAATAATAATAATGAATAATAAATTATTATAATAATAACAAAATATGTAATAATAATTGGTACTTATAAAGGTTTAATAAACAATTCAAATTTTTTAAACATAATTTAACTTTGAAATGTTTTCCTGTTACATTTATTTAACATTTATCGGCTTTTAGAGTAAGATAAGACTGGATAATTAAGTATTTTTTTAAATTGTTGCTTATTTTGTCACGTATATGTAGTAATCAAACAACTATTCTCACCAAGTAAAACCTCTGATCAATATAAAAATTAAGTATATACATTTGATCTGCGAAAGAGCATTTATATCCAGCTCATGGCAGTGACATAGCCTTCCCTTTATGCTTTTTTGCTGACCTCGGCAACTGCCATGAATGCCAGGAAAGCAGGCCATGGACCAAGGAGCACGGAGCCAGCAGCCAGGAGGAAGGACCTGGATCAGGACGATGCCTGAAACGATTCCATGCCGTTGCAATCGCGGCCATTAAGTCATTTTGTTTCCTGTAACATTTCCGGTATCTTTTTAGCGTCGTCGCCGCTTCGAGTATTGCGGGCTGCCAACTGATGGAGGAGAAGGAGGAGGAGGTGGAAGTGGAGGTCAGAGGGCTGAAAGTGCTGCTGCTGATTGGGGGCGGAGCGGATGGTTTGGGTGGTGTGGTGCTGCAACAAATGCTTTTAAAGTAGATGATGGCGCGTTGGCTGCTTGGTCAATTTATTGCTTACCAAATGTGCTGCTGGCCTGGGTCCGAATTCCGCTGAAGCGCTCCAAATTGCAGCACGTAAAGTGTTCTCTGAAATTAACTCGGGCCTCCTCTTTCAGGCCGCCTTCCTGCGATAAGAAGAAATATGTACAAATAAAAAATTGTGAAATAATGGTTGCATTAATGATGGCCATCGAGCTTTAGGGGGCTACAAATTGTATTGCGATTTCAGCGAAATGCGAAGTACTTGTTAAGGGGTTGCTTCGAACTATTTTATGAGAAATCCTTTTATTACAAATTTAAAAAGTCATTAAAGTCAAAAAATTCGAACTATTTTATGAGAAATCGTTTTATTACAAATTTAAGAAGTCAATAAATTACATATTTACCAAAAGATTATCGCTATATGTTTGTAAATTAAATAAAAATTAATAAAAAATCTTCTTAAAAAAGTATTTAAACGGGCTTTAAATACTTTTCCTATTTTTTTAAAACATTTTTGTAAAAATTATCATATATTTGTTCATATGCAATAAACATACACAGAGAGACTTTTTAATGAACGGTGCACTTAAATTGAGAATTTTCTACTCAAAATAAAACCAAGTACTCACTTTAAAAAATAAAATACCTTGAAATTGAGATTTTTTAGAGATTTTTTTCTCAAAAAACGGGAACAAATGAGAGAGAAACAACATGGTGAAAGAAATAGGCTTCTTTTTTCAACATTTGTCCACAAAATCCGTATTTCCTCAAATTGAGAATACAAATACTTAATTTGAGAACGTCAGTCTTCTTGAAAAATGTTCTCTGTGTAGTGTTGTTTGAAAATCAGAAAGAAATACACGTGTACCAAATGCACTTGCATAACTCCTCTGGAATACCTTTGCTCTAAGTGAATTCAACGAGTGGAAAATTTCGAGAGCATTATTTTGCATATGCAGGAGACCATTATGAGGCCCGCTTTGCCAAATCCTGTAGGACAAATACGTATACTCAACGTGTATGGCATTGCTCATCCGCAGCGTGGCCAAGGCAACACAGTTAGAGTGCGAGAATGTGAATGAGAGTGGAGTTGCTACTGCAGTAGAAGTAGAAGGTTGCCCACTGTGTCCCGTGGCACACATACAGCAGATTTAGTGCGACTGCTTTTATCTTGTCGCGCTCCTGGACGCTTTGGGGATCAGAATCGCCAGGTGAATGTACATTTGTTCATATGCGGATATACGGTAGCATGCGAGGAGGCCAGGCACTCTCGGCTCTCGACTCTCGGCTCTAACTGTAAACGTATCTCTGGCCATATCATCCTCATGCTCCTGCATATCGCTCGGCAATCCCATCAGCCCCGGCTAAATGTATAACAACAGTCACTTAGCGCACTGCTGCCATCCACATTCCCATTCACATCCAACCTGCAACCTTTCAGCTGCGCAACATTGTGTGTGCGGTCGTTACTTCATTGGCACAATCCCCAGACTCGAAATGCTGCTTTTGCTGCCTTCATTGTTTTGCTGTGCATTTTATTCTGTATATTTTCCTTTTTTTCGCCACGTATTTTCTTTTAATGCGCTGCGGATTTGCTGTGAAATATGCAGAGCGAGGGGGGCTGGGGAATAACTGCCAACCTGCGACACCCACCTGGCCTCTATCTGTCTCCCAGTTGGACCATCCCGGCACCGGCACTCTTATGCTAATTAAGTTTATGCTAATTTAACTTATTGCCACTAAGTTGGCCCACATATGCGGCCAGCCGCAGGAGTCATCACTTTATTCTCCCGTTGTCGCCGGGTTTTCAACCCATGGAAATTTCGGAATGCGATCTGGCTGCTGTCACAGAAGCTGGGAGTAAATAACTTCGTTAAATAAAAAAAGGAAGTGTAGCTAATTAATATAATTAAAAGTAAGTGTAATCAAGTTGCTAGTCCAAATGATGCAGAGATTTGGGAATGTTCGTCGCTGAGGTTTTTCATTTTACTAAAAGGAAAGGTGGTTGGAACTAGATGCTTAGGGGTTTTTGGCTTAAATGTCCAACACGATCGAGAAGCAGCTTCAATACCGACAAACAGTATCCTTCGCACTGAGTTTTATCAAGGGAATTGGAAGATTTCGGTGAGAATAAGCTTATTGGTTCTTTAAAAGCAAAATCGAAAAAGAAAGAAATAATAAATAAACGCGATTCCATAATGTTAAACAAACTTAAAGCTGTATCAGTTAAATCTAAACTAAATGAAGGAAAACACTGCTGTATTTATAGGCAGCCAATCTACATCGGAATGAATTTCTGACCCTGGACGAAAACCGCCAGGCTACACAGAGAAAATTATACAACGTTTTAGGTGCCGTTTTCATATAAAAGCGTTTTAAAAATAAAAATGAAAACGTTTTAAAAATGCAAAGTAAAACAAATTTGT